AGTTCATGGGTGGTTGAGCACTACCACACCATGACAGTGAGGCTGGGTCTGGTATTGAGCTGCAAGGTCAGTCTGATATCTTGGCGCCGCCAAAATCTCTCTGACTTATAACAACTTACAGCTGTTCAGAGCGCTCTTTTATGGAGGCAGGTCTGCATCATCTCTACAAGGGAGTTCATGGGTGGCTGAGCGCTACCATACCACAACAGTGAGGCTGGGTCTGGTATTGAGCTGCAAGGTTAGTTTGATATTGTGGTGCTGCCAAACTCTCTCTCACGTATGACAACTTACAGCTACCTACAAGGAATGTTCGTGAGAAACCATGATGCTGAGAAGTAGTTGAGCGTTGTTGCGTCCCAACAGGTTTCCATTAAATGTTCTCAGTTCACAGGAAATACATAGAATCACATTGCTCTAACATGTATATTATAAACAAATAGTAGCGCTAATAAATATATATATATTATGAAATACTAGCAGCTGCGAGGGCGGTGGCACACTTTTGACGGATCTTAGACAGCGCACTGTTAGTTTTGGGGGTCCTTTTGGCAGCTGAGGAAGTTGGAAATATCTGACTAAAATGAAATTAAGTGCTCGAACGATCAACACCAAACATGTTGCTTACCGATTCCACCAGACCAGTAGATCTGTCACTTCCCCTTGCTCATCTGGATCTTCTAAAAGGTCAAGAAGAGAGTGATAAAAGGTCTCTGAATTGGTTGCTGTGTCCGTGCGAGAGAATACTGAGGATGAACACAGCGCAAATCTAACCTATCTCAATTATTAGTTACAAAACCAATGTTAATTTCAACCAGTTTAAAAACCTGAGTCATGACATATGCTATAGAAGCACCGGTAACAGCAGTCATGCCGTGAAGGTGAGCATTTCCAGCTCTTGTAGCCTTGGGCTCTCTGTCCACTGAACTTGGTGAAGTAAATATATGCCTAAATGCCTGGTGAAAGGGTATGCAATAAATGTTCATGTATTTACAATACACTAAGTGCGCTCACATTTATGAGTAGGCATGTCCTCAGAAGACCATTCCAGGGATCCTCTGGATCATAGGCCTCGTTGGCATATAAGAAAAGAGGCCATTGGTCTCCGCTGACAGAGATTACACCACTTTGCAAATGCTGTTTTGTCCTAATTGGCACCATGAAGCGTCAGTGATTGGTGTCTGAATGTAAGACCTACTCCTCATCATCCCAATCCAATTCAGTGGGACAGAGTAAGCGACCCGTGAGAGGGTGGTTGAAGCTGCAATTGATCTTCGAATTTCTTGGCAAGGGAGGCAGGACGACTTCACCTGCAGGTACTATCCAATCTATTACCACAGGTTTCAACAACTTTGTGTCCTCACCTCTAGCAGCAGATGCCCCTTTACCGATATTCTAGGCTAAGTAAGGATATTGGCCAGGTATGGGTGGGCGACTCACTAGTTCTCCAACATGAAGGATTTCTTCCTCCGAGCCTTCCCTTAGTCGCTCCAACAGCCCAGGGTAAGAGTCCAAGAGCTTTTCAAAGACTCTATGCTCTCTGCGCTCTCTGATGACTGCGTTAGATTCGAGTCAACAGAAATGAAGTTAATATTGACTCAGCACAAAAGTCTTCCAGTGTTGCATCTTCCAGTTGTTCCAAACATAGTATGCCATTAGTTAACAGGGAGGGATAATTGCAGAGGGTGAAAACTGTACGTCCAAAATGTCGACCATGCGAAACTAGAGGATCAGACTTCAAGCTGAACTCTGGCATCAGCTGAGATAATGATAATTTGAGTAATTTGAAGACTTATGCTCTCTTACGAGGTCCGAGCTGAAGAGCTGATGTTGAACCTCTCTTGTGAGATTCATTCGAAGAAGATTTGTCGTCTTCCATATTGGACTTTCACAGGTATTCCACCTGCAACCATACTTTGATTTATACTTTAGTATCAGAGGACACGGCATTGCAGGAATGACGTGAATACATGTTGGTGCCATATTAAGTGTGTCATCATGCCAATAGGCATGCCATCCTTATGCTGTAATATGCCCACAGCTCCTTAATTTGACAGTAAATGTGTCATAGCGCTACTGTTTGAAATGGGAATGCCTACTCGATGGAACAGCATTTTCTTGCAGGGTATAAAGTACCATTAGTATCTGTGCTGGATAGTCAAAATCTTGCAATGAAACAATCACCGCCATTGAACAGCTGCACCATAAATTTGAACTTACAGTGAGCTCATAATACGTTATTGAATGCGCTTGGCTTCATACCTCTAAAGGATCAAAATCAATGGGAATTCGACACTGGACGATACACAGAGAGGCAAGGGATCGCAGGTGAAGATGCCAGTTATGTATGTTTGTCAAAAGGAGCACATTAAATGATTCACCTGCGCTCGTACAGAAGCTCTTGTGCTGAGGGTGCGCACCCACAGCCTGCCAGTGACCAAACCCTGGCTGCATGTGCAGTGGAAGATCTTATATTAACCAGTGACCTGCACCAGCGTCTGGAGGTGGCTGAGAAAAACTGCAGTCATTACTTGGAACTATACAAGAAATACTGATTAAGATGGCTAGAGGAGAACCAGTGTGCAAACATTCTAGAGAAGTATGCACCCACTGATGTAGAATGCTACAGTCCAGCCCAAATGCAATGGGACGCACCGTCTCCATGCTTAGGTGAGATTGCAAATGCAATACCATGTCCCACAATTGAAACAAAGCTCGACAGATGATTGGGAAGCAGTGGGAATGCCGTAGTGACCCCTCAGTCATGTGGAGACATAGTTTCAGCTTTTCACCAATGCGCACAAGAATTTATAGTAGTCTGTCAAGTAATGACAACGGTGTATAGCTCACCATCAACATAATGAATTAAGGAGGTGCAAAAATAGCAACAGAAAGTCTAGAGCAGTTCCTGTGACGATGTATAACTGGGATCCATAGTCAAAGTCCTACAAGGCTATTCAGAAACGCACGTCACAAAAGGAATAGTATACTGACTGCGACAACCTGGGTTTTCTCATCTAGATCAGATGCCGCCAAGTCAGCGAGAAGACGAGCGCAAATCACAATAGGCTTACTACCCCCCATGATCCAAACCACTCAGGACCTCGCCTTTCAATTTGATCCAGACCAAACAGGAGGAATCTCTGTTGTGAAATACCGCACAATGGCCACCATTGACGAACACCACAGGAGGAGCTTGTTTCACATCACTTGCCAAGTCTCTGTTAATCGCATACACCTGCTCAATTTTGCCTGTGCAATCCATTCCTTGAACGCCTACAAGATAAGCACAAGCGCCTACTTGAGATGCAGAGACCTGAGCTCCGTTTGGACTGACGTCCAGGTGTCGTCTATTGCGTAGATAATGTCAGCTGTGAGATGAGGCAATCAGAAATGGGGTGCGTGCATCTTAGCTTCGAGAAATGAGTAGGCTCGGAGCGTCCTGTTGGGAACTTGGCAATACCATCTGTCGTGATCTGTTATCAGAGAGTTACCAGAGCAACACTTTTAGATACCCTTACAGTACACCGTCATTAGTGCCTCCAAGTAATGCCTCGTCATCCTTGTAAAAGAACGGACCACTGTGGTTGCCAGGTGCCTGTGACAGATATGACAATGTTTTCTGAGATGTGAGAGTAGCACAAACCTTTGATCCATAACCACACCTTTAACCCAAAGCGAGGAAATGCAATGGCAAGACGATCCCTGTTGTAGGTGAAGCTGGTGGATTCCTACTTCCCCGCATTGAGGAGCTTCGCCCACTGCCAATTGTTCTGGTTCTGGTTGAAATGGTCAGCTACGGTTGACCTCGGGAGCAAGAACATCGACACTTGCATTTCGCGTCCATTTGCTGATAACACCATCTTGTCCCAGGGTGAAGACACCGTTGTCATCTAGCATCCAAGCAACAGACAATATTAGCGAGTTTCGACTCGATTCGATACGCTCCATATCCGGATCTCTGGGTCATGACCTATATTTAATAGATTGGCGCCAAGCAGAAGAAGGAAAAGAGATGGTAGAAATGAATATACGAGAGAGCTACTTGAAGAGCGAGGTCTCACCAGCGGTGCGCTCAATCACAGGGTAGAACTATGTAAACCAGATACCATTTCATGTTCTTGTATGAGCATACTGGCGTCAAAGAAGAAGTTCTATTTGATCAGGACTAGACCGCCAACATAAACAACATGAGATAAGTGAGGATTCTGCCCCTTACTTGCGGACTGCCCATAGAAGTGAGTCTTTTGCCTTTAAACACAATGCCAGAAGCTCAACAGAACAAAGTCCTCATTGCCACTATAGGCCAACTAGGTGGATGCCCATGTCCTAGATGTCTTATTCCAAAGATAAGACTCCACAATCTCGGCATGGCTCGCGACAGGCAGCAACACATCATACTCCTGTGTTCAGATGAAGCATGTGACCATTTGGTCGGCACAGCACTATTGAATTGAGGCGGAGTGAGACTGGGTGCAAGGGATGAAACTGATTGCATGGGACGGGGATACCGGTTAGTAAAAGTGGTAAGAAAACTAGACGACTGAACATACCCTGAGATACCCAAACTCAAACTATAGCAATCCTTTCATCTGATATCACCTGGATCTGCGTGAGGCAAAAATTGGTGCAGAGGGTGGCAATTGAGGACATCAGCTGTGGTGAGCAAGAAAGCTAATCAGAGTGATAGAATGGTTTGGACAGTGATAAAAATTTACGCCCTCAAGAAGTAAAATCAACATGAAGAACCGTAAATCTACTGCTGATCAGAATTAGTATTCAGGTGCACCACATATATGCATTGAAGGTGAAGGAGACATGGAATGATCAAAAGATGCAAGAGAGTGATAGAAGGAAAGTGAGAAAGCAGGAAGGGGGAGTTGGACTTAGGATGAAGTTGTGATGGTCTTGAAAGTTTGTGTGACTGATCAAGAAAAGCGCTGAAGGACATACTTTGAATCCAGATCCAACAGCCAACAGATGTTCAAACTTCTGTGCGTTTCATGTATCGATCTCTGGAGTCGAGCCAAGAAGGAAGGTATGGGAGGCTCACACGCTCATGGATGGTGGAAGAAGTTTAGCAAGAGAGCGAAAATTTTGCGATTAAAACATGCACAGCAATACTATTGGCAATTCCCGAATGCTGCTTGGGCAATCATCTAACTCGACTCTAATCTGTCTCATACATAATAGATATCTGTATATGGTAAGATTTAAGATGTATAACCCCTGATCGCTTATCGAACGGGTACAGCAGATGGGTTCAGATGTTTTCAACGCTGGCAGTTCGATGGGCACAATGCCTAAAAAAATCATTGTAAGTGCTTACAATAATCGATCAACGATCAATGATCAACGCTAACAAAGCTAACAAAATGCAATAGACTCAAGCGGAATGTTTTTGGGCACAGGTAAGTGATCTACATATACGCACATGATCATTATCTAAGCATCTAGTCCAATGCCGCCGCCAATGCCACCACCAATGCTGGCATCGGTGGTAGCAGACCATTTTTTAGCAGGGTTCAAGGTGTGATAGGCGCCGTGAGAGATACTATCTGGGCAGCATTGTGCACAGCTGCAAATCTGGTAGCAACATTTAGAAGGGTCAGCTACATTTCTTTTTAAAATGTTTGTCTGAAGTACTAAGCTTAGGATCTAGGGATGAGTGCATTGATGTGATTTTACGTTTTCAATTTTTTGCTTTTCTGTTCATAGTAACCCATCTCACCTTGCAACATCCTACTCTACTATTGTACTATCTACCCACCAGAGGAGCACTCGATGTATACCCAGAGACTCATCAGTGCCCATCCGGCATCTTTTGTATTATGGAAAATGGAATTAGATGCATATATATAGTTGACAGTCAATTAATGGACATAAGGAACTTGACCAGAAAATGAATGTATATAGAGAGAAGTGGAGGCACTGGAAGGGACGATTAAGAGGTCTGTGACTGGTTTGACAGTAGATCATTGTGAACGTTGAACACCGAAAGTACGGCTAGCAAGCTCCCAACTTGGAATACACGTATGCATGACAGTGATGAACTGGCTTGTAGTGAGAACATTTATACATAATATACACAAAGCATCAATACTGTGACACATAATAAAATCTAGACTTTGTCAACGTGCAAGTATGGGTCTATCCTTGCTTGAAACCCATACCAAGCCAATGGGGCTAAGATGCCCACCACAATGAGGAGGCAGCAAACACATGTAATCAGGGCGGGTTTGGAGTGCTCAGCGTCTATGAAGGCACTGGCAAGAAATCCAATGCTGGACCATGTGATGCTAAAGTACGTCTTTTGTGAGTAAAAGTAAGGGACTATAATCCAAAACTTTACTTGCCTCATGATACAAAAAAACCTAGGTGTGCTGAACACCCCAATGACAACTGCCATCCCCTGATCAAGATAATATGTCTGGTTAAGTGGTAATGTCAGACTTATAGCTGCAGAGCACAAAATCAAACAAACCACAAATCTCAGCATTTTCAATTTCTCTCCAAAGTGTTGCATGAACATGCCTGCAAACATGCAGCCCACACAGAATATAATGGATCCCTTCAAAATAGACTCTGCTACCGTTCCTGTACCTACACCTTGGACAGCAAGGAAACCAGCGTCAACCGCCATGATGACTCCTGCCTGCCACATGTACATGAGTTCTCATTCTCTACCCTTGTAATATATCACTCACCAGAGTTATTTGTGCTGTATTCTGGGAGCTGAAGTCGTCAACAAAGTTCTTTATGTCGAGGGAATTGATAAGGCCGTCAACGTAGATTTGGTTGAGGCGTTCTCGAACCAACATGGGAAGGCAAAACATAGCTAGTGTAGCTATGAAGGGAAAGGGCTCCCTCTTTCTATGCCTGTGGCCCATTGAATGGGACCGTAAAAGACATGCTTCAGGTTGTCCATAATAGTTAAGGTATTGGTGGTGACCTGCACCGTCTAATTAGTAACAATACCTGGTAAGAGAAATGGCTAACATATGTAGCATGTGGTATAGTCTGCCTGACGGTAATGATATAAGTTTCCGTACTGTCTTATTCACACAATTACTCACCGAACAATGCGACGCCTGGCTCTGTTATATTTCCATCAGAACCTGTAAGATCATGTGCGCTTTCATCATGAGGATGCTGTAAAGGGGCAATGCAACATTACATACCTAGACTGGCCAGTCTGGTGATAATTTTCTCTGTTGCTTCCTTGTTAGAGAATATGGTAGCCGAAGTGGAGTTGTCTAAAATCAATGCATCTGCACTTTGCTGAGATCATTCTATTCAGCACTAGAATGTGATGGAACATGCCTGCATGAAACCAATCCAGTTCAGTACGCAGCTTTCTTACAAGCAAGTGATCGAGCTTGAAGTTGTGGGGAAAGAATTCTACATGCTTCCTGTCAAGCAGTTTATTTGAATCAGCCATTTATGTTTATGTTGATTTCAACAATCACTTACCAAAACTGGGCCTCAAGCTCAAGTCCTGAAAAACAATCTAGTCTGTAGATCATAACACTCAAATGTAATGCACTTTTATGGTTCCATTCCCTAGCAGAATCACATTCTCTAAAAAGATGAGTGCCATCCAAAGGCTCTAGCCAGCCAATGACGTGCACATCTGGCGCTACAAGGTAGTACAGATAGACATCACCATCTACATGCTGTGTCCTGGCCGGCTCAGCGACTATGGTGGGGTCGCCTTTTACCCTACCTCTCATTGATGCCACCCACACCTCAAAGTTCTGCAACTGAACTTTTGGACAATCTCTTACATTCAATCCAGTGTATGTTTTCTATTGCAGTGAAATGAGAGTATTACTACCAGTATTCACACAATTGGCACTCACCCATGTCTTACTGTAATAATAAGTGGCTCCAGATGGATGGATATGCTCCTCCCATTTATCATATACATTGTGCCTGTTAATGATAAGTTACGGTGTCTGTCGTTAGTGAGAAAGGGCATTGACCGAAAGTCGTCAAATTGCATTTCCTGCACCAGGAAGTCGGGAACTAGCGGTGGCGCTCTGATGAAATTAGGTATCCAGTAGTAGTTAGAGTATATAGTGATGTGTACTCACCGTCTTGCCTTTTGGGCATACCGTCCTAGCTGTGTAGGCCACACAGGGGTACTGCGGTCAAAGGGAACCATATTCTACTCAAATATGCTTCAGTTGTGGTCTGAGAGTGCAGGCCATTCAACTTACCAACATTGTCATCATTTATTAGAAGAAAAATGGCAGAATGATGAATTAGGGTGAGTGTCAAGATAAGATGATCTTATACTAGGAGTGCTGCCGCAGACATGCTGCGAAGGGCTGCATCTCAATTGCTTATCTAATACAATCCCAGACTCCCGGGAGTCAAACAGAATATTAATTAATTAAATACGAGAGGGAGAGAGGACTCGGAAAAACATTTCTTAGACTTGTGAATGATATTGATTAAACCCTAGGGCTACTTAATAAATGCACACCAATTCTCAGTTGAAAATGTGTGATCTTGACTGGGGTTGGAGTTTGTATCATGCAGGCGGATCACGGTTTGGCGTCCAGGACTTGTCCTAGGTATCAGGCAATCGACCACAGAAAGATAAAGTTATACAATGCAATACTCGGAGTTACTCGGATGAAAAGTGCCACACCTACCTGAAATTCTTATGTTAGAGGGAAAGGCTGTAATGTTTATCAGCCTGTCACGTAGATGGCTTCTTAATCACTGGTTAGTGCTGTGTTCCACCCTCTTGACGCTTGTTTGGGCCCACTGTTCCAAGCTCTACAAGTGTTCTTGAGCTTTGAAGGAGAGAACTTTAAAGGACTGTGAATTTTCGTCATGTTATACTACTAGTAGTATGCAGCAGCCGCCCCGCAAAGAAAATGCACTTTATTTGATACCCTAATAGTAGACTGAGCCTCTTGATTTGGCCAGCAAGGGCACTGATGAGCGCAAGTGCAAGTGATTGAATCAAGAGAAAACTTACTGCAGACAGAAATCCGTTTGCGTGATCTCGCTCACAACCAGTTGACATTCCAACTTCAAAGAACCTACACACTGACCCATGCTCTTGCAGTATTAATTACATCCATGCAGACAATCAGTAAAGGCTGAGCACGTAAATCAAGGGGCTTACCCCTTGCATGAATCAGTGATTCATGATCATCTTGACCGTTGGGCGCACTCGCGCCAGAATCGTCGATGTCCTCTTCTGTGGCTGCTGTTGCCACCCTCGAATAATGAGCGAGCCAGCTGATTCCCATTGTGTACAGCAAGGACATCGATCTCATTGAGCCCGCGGGTAGACACAGATGGCTGGGTGGGGTGGTAGTGCTCGGCTGGCGCTGTGCTACTATTCAGGGCTGTAGATGGTGCCAGGGCTGGAGTGATGGCAGCCGGATTGGGAGTGCTGCGATGGAATGGAATGGGTGATGAAGGACTGAAAAAGGACAGTACACATACCTTGGGTGTGCCACAGCAGCAATCCACGCAACAAACTCACCCCTCCTCTCCTGTACTAAAATCTTCACAATATCTAGTCTTTTCAACAACAGACATCCAGTTTGAGGTCGTGATGGGAGGCAAGCAGGGCACTCAGGGAGACCATCCCCATCAATAGTTGTACTCGTGCTTGCTTGCAACATTAAAGGTTTGGTTAGTGGCTGCACAAACACAGAAGAAACAATGGGTGTCAATGGAAAAAGCGGGAAGCGGTCCACTGCGAACCCTGATGAGCACGTTTGACTGTTGCACCTGCGCCTGCTAAATTAAATGGGTTACGGAGCTACCCAGTTTTCATGTTCTTTTCGCTGGAAATGAGTTATTTTGCAAAACCACGTGGATGACACGACTTACATGTTTGCAAGCTAGCAGGAGAGAGCGAAGCGTATCCCACATAGTTGAAGACTTGAGTTTTGTGTCATAAAGAGCCTGAGTCAATCATTTAGTGGAATGACCATAGACAGTTGACTTGTGCGGATAACTTGCCTCCAACAAATTTGGCGCCCCACCAACAACCTGTCGCCGAAGAAATGAAAACTGTTCGTGACCGCAGATTTGAGGGTGAACACAACTTTCTTTTCCGCATGCTTCAAGTGCATCCACCACTCGGCCCGCAAGGACAACTTACTCTTCAGGAGAAAACCTTTGCAAGACGGGTTTCCCCATCAGAGATGTACAGTAAATCGCAACAACACAATGAGGCAAGCAACTCGTTTTTGAATGGCGACAAAGTGTGCCAAAGATATGTAGAAATCAAATGGTGATTGGTATCTTGCCCAATGCCCCATGATAAGCATCATTCCCATTTGCATTGGTGTCTACTAATATTTAATGCCCCGGGCCTAGTACGCCTAGCTATAGTACTAGTATGGTCCGACTGCTGACTGCATGGGCTCTGCAGAAATACTCGGTGATCCAGCAGTCAGGCGCACACCTGACAACAACGGTATCTTGCCCAATGCCCCATGATAAGCATCTATTTGCATCGGTGTCTACTAATATTAATGGCCCGGGCCTAGTACACCTAGTACTATTATGGCCCGACTGCCGACCATGATGCATGGGCTCCGCAAAAATACTCAGTGATCCAGCAGTCAGGCGCGTGCCTGACAACAACTTGAAGAAGGGAAGTGCCAGCAATAATTCAACACATGACACATAGTAGAGACAACATCACTTCTGTCACGGTTACTATGCGCATGGAATCAGTATGGTGCTCATGCAGAAAATCATTCTAGCATACAAGTACCGCCGGTAAGACAGTACAAAGGGAAGTAATGCAGCATGTCGCATTCTGTGATTTTGTGCACTCACTTCATACATACAGATACCTCAAAAGTGCGGCGCTATACTTCACTGCCTCGCAAGTTTGAGGACTTCAATGCATTAGAATCTGTTTTGCTGGAGCACCCGCATATTTCTCTAGGCTATGCCTTAATATGTATGCCTCTACAGGAGGATTGTGACATTATTTATTTGTGGTACCGCCAACTTAGTAAGTGTTTGCCTACGACAATTGTCCAAGCGCTAACTTCCAACAGTGAACTTGCAGTGCCTGCTGGTGGCCGATTATGAAACTGTTAGGCCGATCTAAGATATCAAATAACGCTGCCATTTCAGCATAAAGCAGACCTATAAAATAGCCTGCGCTGAGCTGCAATATCTATGGAGCATCCTTCTTCACCTTCGTCATCATCTGCCATAACTGCTCCCCTGCATGATGAAGATAACATTCGAAGGTTAGCTAAACTCATCACTCAAGCTATGCTAGGGCCCTTTGCCCTCCTCCACTATGACGCAAGGTCAAAAACCATGATTGATTGGGCGTGGTATGACATATCATTCCTGTATACATCAATATCTTACCCGCACTTGCTGTAATGCAAGGCCAACCGATGATCAGAACAACATGATTTCTCCAGATCAGTTTCATGACTATAGACAAGAAAGAAATCTCCGGTATCCTTGCTGTCTTTGTGCTGATGGGATGTACAGTGCTAATGGGACACAACAAACCTATGTTGAGTCTATTGTGTATCCTTGGTGGGATGAGACAAGCGAAACTTGGATCTGGACAGCGAGATGCGCTAAAGATAGTTGCACATACGAAGGTTGGTTTTTCTTTGGTGTCATGCGTCTTACTGACTCTGAAGATCATTCAGTGAAAATCAACAGGTACTTTCAGCTACGGACACAAAGCACTCAAGCATATCCTCTCAGAGGTTAGTCTTACGATATATTGTTGCGTCTACTAGTGCTAAGGAGTTAATGACAGACTGTCGCCCCCCATCAATATTAATGATGTGGTCTCATAAAGAACAAGACAATCTATTTTCTAGACTTCACTCTTTTACCAGCAGTGGAATCAGCAGAGAAGAGTTCCAGATACTGTTTCAAACTTGTAAGTTGTGCAAGAGAGTGGGGACTAAGAGATCTATGAGGTTTCACTGGTGCGCAAAGAATAGTATTTTAAATTAAGAGTATTGTTGGACTTTCCTATTCACTAGAGCTGGGCTTGATTATGATATACCTGTGTCTGCGATCCTTGGTATCTGTCTTAAGTATAGACTGTTGAGTCCCTCAAATTCCCACGAGTAAGCACACTGCGTTCTGTACCATCACCCCAAATCTCACCGCCTCTGTATATACACATGATGTCGACTCTCAACAGCCGTCTTTCATCACTCCTTCCACCATCAATAATATCATGTAAAGGAGCTCTCGCTTTGTCTTCCTGTGCTGCAGGTCCAGGGGTCGACGGATTAAGATGGTGGATCGATTGTCAGTCAAACCCCACGGTCAGCTACTCACCCTCTGTCATCGAATTATCTCCTCTAATGTGTTGCAAGCAGCTTCAATTTGAACTTAGATTGCTGCTTTTTCTATTGGAGGACTATGTCTTCTCTGGAGATTTATGGCGCCTTGTTATAGCACACCACATAGAAATTATGCAAGAAACACAATTACGCAAGACGCAAACACAGAACTTCAGCAGCAGATTTCGGTTTGAAAGGGAGCTAGAGTTCTTGGAAGATAAGAGAGATAGAGCTCAATTGGAACTGTCGCTATACTCTCAGGCCACGGACGTCTTTCAGCTGCAGTTAGGGTGTATGTACACCACTCATATATATGCCTGGAAATATTGACATTTATTTGGAAGTACGCCATGGAAGTCCTGTAATTCAACTCTCAGTGGGAGACAGGCGTTTGCCAGGCACTTTCTCAAGAGTTGGTTCAGGGAGCTTGCGCCAGCCAGATCTAGTGCATATGAAATGCAGAGAGTGGTTAAGCGGTATCTTGACTGGCAAGTCTAATTCTGCTGGTGAAGGTAGGCTTGAATCCGCCAAGGATACCGTTCCTGCTATTGTGAAAGAAGAACCAACATCCATTGCATCCAAACTCATGACAATATACACTACACTAGTGTTGCCTGAAGTGAGCATGGTTACAATTACATCTTTGTATTGATTCTCATGATGTCTGGTAGGCAACTCAATGCCCTTACCATTTGGTCAGTACATGGGTTGAGGAATGTATGGAGGAATACTACATGGATGATAGAGTGATGGAACAAGCGTCCTTGCAGATGTTGATATTGCAAGCCGGTGATTTATCCGATGTCCAAGCTGAACAGCACTTCCTTGAAGCTCAGCTGAGTCTAATGCAATCAAAACTGCGGCGTGCTCAAACAGAGGTGGAGCTCCTCTCAGATGCCATACAATACCTTACTGAGAGCAATACTAGTGAGTGCAACTGCCATATTTTCAAACTCATGGTGATTGACACTGCCCAGGCTGGTCTATGGGAGGTCCTCAGCTGCACTGTCGCTCATTTGTTGTCCAGTATGAACACTTAATGGATAGCTCCTCTTACACAGAAGAAAGCTGTGGATGGTCTGACTCCTAATGGTTGTTCCTGCAAAAGCCCGGAGTCCATGATGTACAGTATCGATGTATGATTATGGATTAACTAAGTACTTGTAACGTCAACTCACAATTGTAGGCATGTCTTTTCATATATATATGTATTTGTGAGAGAGCACCAGGTTTGAGCGAGCCAAGTTGACCAGTCTCATACAACAGATTGTGAAAAGTGCAGCGAGTATTTGAATAATGCTACTGTGACAACCGAGCTTGATGCATGAAAGGTCTAGCTCACGAATTCTGCTTACCTAATTCTGCTGCATATTCTTTTATCGTTTATTGATTCTGAACGATGATGGTCCCCTGATTGACCAGCGTCATTGGATGGTCCCTAGTGCGCATCCATGTGTCCTGTTCAGTCTTCAATGAACCAACCCATTTTCACATGTACTTGTGGCCGAGGGTTTCAGCAGGAAAGTGCTTTCACCAGACACCAAAAATCTTGCATCAAGGGCAAAAAATGACTGTTCTCTGCTTTGAGCAAAGCAAAAGATCTTCTTGGGTCCGTCAAAAGGGCAAGAAAGCGCCTTGATGATCATGAAAGCTCTTCACACCCTCAGGTTGTTTCTTCAGATGCCAGGCCGACTTCTCCTATCTTCCATCATGCCATAGCTTCTGGGACTTCTAATTCTACATCGGTGTTAGCGGTGCATACTGTTGCCGCACCCCTCGACAATAATAGTCATGATGACTAGCCCTTAGCCCAGCATAGGGAGAGACGCAACGATGTCCAGCTGCCTAAGCGCTACAGGCAATTCCAGGATGTTCTACCTGAACCTCTTCCCAGCATTCCAATAAACAAAGTAGATCAATCTTCAGACTCTCCCCCCCCCTTCTTTAACCCCACCTTCAGAAATACGACCTCCTTTTTGCTCCCCTCGAAATACTTTTGGACTCGTGCACTGGTTCTTCTCCCCAAACCCGCCGTCTCATGATCCTGAAGAGGCAGTCACACTAGGGGACATTAGCGCTATTCCTCGTCCTCTATCAAATATGGAGACCACTACACACGAGGCTTCACCATACTACCCATACCCAAATCAATCGTTGTTGGAGCTTGGTGATTGGTACTGGAATGGAGGGGTGCAGAAGTCTCAAAAGAGCTTCAATGATCTCCTCAGTATTGTCACAGATCATGATTTTGACAGCGCCGGTGTTCACTCAACGCCTTGGGAGAAAATCAACTCGACCCTAGGTCAAAACGACTACAAGGATGGAAATGAGGAGTGAGAGGATGAAGATGCGGGCTGGCATAAAACTGATGTGTCTATTCAGGTCCCTTTCTCTCGCACCAGCAATAATCCAGGAGTTCTATCATACTCGGGCGTCGAACTGTACCATCGCTCTTTAGTCGGCGTTATTCGGGAGAAACTGGCGAATGCAGGTGATGATGAACGATTTCATTACGAGCCATATGAGCTCCTATGGAAACCTGACCACCTTCAGAGCGAGGTCAACATCCAAGGGGAGCTATATACATCTCCAGCATTTATGGATGCACACCGCGATCTGCAAAACTCTCTGGGGGAACCTGGTTGTGATCTCCCCAGGGCTATAGTTGCACTCATGTTCTGGTCAGACACGACCCATCTGACCAGTTTTGGCAATGCCAAACTATGGCCCATTTATCTTTATTTTGGTAATGAATCCAAGTATCGTCGGTGCAAACCCTCTTCTCATTTAGGTAATCATATTGCATACTTTCAAAAGGTGATGTTCTAACATGTTTTCTTTGTCGTGCATGAACTCAATAGTAGCTTGCAGCTTCCGGATTCGTTCAAGGACTTTACTTGTCAACACACAGGTGGAAAGGGTGTTGGCCGGGAATGTACGACGCACTGTCACAGAGAATTATTCCAGGCACAGTGGGGGGTTATACTTGATGACAAGTTCTTGGCGGCATATGCCCATGGTATCATAATCAACTGTTGTGATGGTATCACAAGACGATTCTACCCAAGGATTTTTACTTACTCAGCGGATTACCCAGAGAAGTGAGTCCTTTACCTTTAAACGCAATGCCAGAAGCTCAACAGAACAGAGTCCTCATTGCCACTATATGCCAACTAGGTGGATGCCCATGTCCTAGATGTCTTATTCCAAAGATAAGACTCCACAGTCTCGGCATGGCTCGTGACAGGCAGCAACGCACCACACTCCTGTGTTCAGATGAAGCGCGCTGTGGGGAACGTCCCCACTGTAGGCCCATATCCCCTATAATTCCCATGCCTTCCCACCATTTTCCCGTGCGTTCCGCTACCATCCCGCTACCCATCCGCATCTTCCCCAACCCGTCCACTACACGGAACCCAGCAGAACCCAGCGGAACAATCACGTACCACACGCATTATATTCCTTTAGCCTTCAGAACATCCTCCTCTGTCCTGTCCAAGTCCTTCCATCCTCGCTGGTGAGTACTAGCTACGTTCCTCGTGTCACCAACATGTTCCTATCTCATTTCCCATGTGTTACGGTACTTATACGGATCCTTCTGCTACTCGGGACCGATTCCTTATCTCACAGCCTCACCCGGTTGTAGCATATTGCATTTCGGAACCCCTTCCTATATAGGTAGCAATAGATGGGATCTTAGTTTTTTACCTTCTGATAGACTCGACTCCACTTCCACTTACAGAGTACTTCCCAGTACTCCACTCACTGTTTAAAATATCTTCCCGAATCTATTCCTGATCACATTGTATCGTTCCCACCCCCATGAGTTCCGCTCAAAATGCCCGACATCGGATCCGACGACTTGGAGCAAGTACCAGACACAAGCCTGGTCCGACTTTGCCCAATCATCCTCCTGCAGGCTCGTAGTTTCTTTTCCCTCCATTTGTTCCCCATTAGTTCTGTTTGTTCCCTGTTCGTCCTGTTTGTTCTGCGTTAGTTCCATTAGTTCCCCATAGTTCCACTTGTCACGCGCTGAGTTCCGCTCATCGGGAACCCTCCGCATCTTTGTGTTCCCAGTCCTAGTAAGGACCGGAACCCTTCGGCTCGCTAGACAGAGTCTAGTCTTTGTTTCCTTGCACTTATTTGAGGACTCACTACCCAGTAGCAATCCCCTCGGGACGAGTATAAGCCTCACACCCTTGTTAGACTTCTGATCCACATGGAGTCTATTTTCCTCACCCACAGCGCGACCATTTGGTTGTCACAGCTAGAAGCATCATCTACGACCAGAATCGTGGCATTGACAGCATCGCTGTAGAGAATCTACTCAAGCCTTGCTCCTGGGTACCGACATGTGTAAGCAACTTTATCACTTGTCTAACTCAGCTGACGAGCAACATCAGAACATTTTTTCTAATAGACTTGGTGCACATGGCTTCAACGTATTTGAAGCATTGGTTGTAGATCTTCTTCATGAAGTTGAACTTGGCGCTTGGAGATCACTGCTCATTCACCTATTGAGGATCTTATGATTGGCTGATAAAGATCTGATCCATGAACTAGATAAGAGGTTGGCTTTTTCTTCTTCTTCTAATATCCACAGTACGCTGATGCTTAGATTACATCTTCACAGATACAGACAGGTCCCGCCGTTTGGACAATCGACTATTAGAAGATTCACAGCAAATACTTCAGATCTATCAAACATGGCGGCACGTAACTTTGAAGATCTCCTCCAGGTAAGTCAACGTGCAGGCTACTACATTAGCTAGGCTGATTCTCCTTAGTGTGCGATTCCTGTTTTCGATGATCTTCTCCCCCGTCCTCACGACACGGTCATTTGAGACCTCCTTTTTACCCTAGCGTATTGGCATGGCCTTGCCAAGCTCCACATGCATTCTGACTTGACGTTAGATATTCTAGATCAGACAACAACCGAGCTTGGCAAGCAGTTCCGCAGATTCAAGGCAAATGTCTGCACAGCCTATGATGCAAGAGAGCTAGACAAGGAAGTGAATACGCGATCGAGGCGTCAGGCAAAGGAAGCAGCTCGACAAACTCAAGCTGGCAAGGGCAAGAACCCTTCCAAGCATGAGGACAAGCCAGATGGGATGGCGGAATCTGTAGAACGCAATGTGTTGCACAGGAAAGTTTCCTTAAATTTGCACACTTACAAGTTCCACTCGCTTGGAGATTACGCGTTGTGTATAAGGCGCCTCGGTACTACTGATTCTTATAGCACAGAGGCAGTAAGTTTCTGGAGTTCTCAGCTTATTTGTGTTTGACGTCTATGACAGGGAGAACTTGAGCATCGCACAGGAAAACAAAGATATCTCAGAACAGACCGCAAAACATTTGTTCACCAACTAACTCAGATTGAGCGTCACCAAACACGCATCAGACGTATCAAGAATCACCTTCAACAGTCCCAATCCCATGAAGCGGCAGACAGTGATCCTACCATTCACCACCACATCGGTCTGAGTGAGAAAATTAACGACAACATAGGTTCTCATTTGCGTTTGCGCGAGGGCGATCCAGCCATGAAGGTGAGTATCGCTATGTTGATTTCTACGAATAGATCATTGATTGCCAAATACTTGATATGCAGAATTATTTTTCACGCTTGAAAGACCATCTTCTCCAACGTGTCCTATCATCTCAATTTGCTGATTTGGATCAAGCGGCACATGGCGACATCAATCAAATTCTCTTCAAAAGGAATCGCATCTTCCACCACAATATTGCATGCATCAACTATACAACCTACGACACAAGACGCGATCAGGATGTTATCAATCCCAAGACCTCTCACTGCAACATCATGGTGCTCAGTAGTTCTAGCGAATCAGGACACTATCATTACGCCAATGTATTAGGAATCCACCACGTCAACACTGTTGTTGTCAGAGGTTCCTATCAGACTCCCCATCAAATGGAGTTTCTATTTGTACGCTGGTATGAGGCTGCAGATGCTGATAGTTGCAGGATGGCTTTGGATCACATTTGTTTTTCGTTGTTGGATAGTGAAGGCGCTTTTGGTTTCCTGAATCCAGTAGATGTCCTCAGAGCTAGTCATATAATCCCTCACTTCTCTAAAGGAATGCACCATGCAGATGGCAGAGGATTGTCTGGCATGGCTAGAGACAGAGGCGACTGGCAAGAATATTTCGTTAATCGGTAAGTGCATTCAAGGTTCGTAAATTTTCCTTCACTAAAATTGCGCAATAGATTTGTAGACAGGGACATGCTCATGCGGTTTCATTATGGTCTGGGGGTGGGCCATGTCTATTCTCATCAGGACATGCTGCCTGTGGGTTCTCCTTCCGACGTTTCCAGTCCCCAGGAGATCACCGTTGATGGTAGAGAGGGTGACGAACATGAGGAGATCGATAGTGAAAACTCTGAGTATGAGCCTACTGGCGTCGAGGAAGAAGTTCTATTTGATCAGGAGCAAAATGGAAGTACGGAATCTATTATTGAGGAGCTAGATAACATGTTTACCATTGAACACAAGTTAGATTACGAATCCTAAACCATCCTGACTCGGAACCATATGATCATAGCCCCAAGTTAGTGTTGCTGGTGAACTGAACGCAGTTCAAACTGACTTGTGACACTTCACTTCGAAAATGAGGCAGTTCATCCTCACAACCCGGTTCATTACACTTCGACCAAACATTTTTGTAAACAAGGCGATGCAACAACCCAATTTGCCTAATTGTGCATCAAGATGAAGAAAGATAGTTTCTTATCTTGAGCACTATACTTGCATGGAGCACCAGCCTCTGGTCGTCATTTCTCATCTACCGACTCGACTATTACTTGACAATATCTGTAAATTCAGACCTATCATGACTGCACATCAGTTTCGGAGGATTCTACGCCCGCAAGCCGATGCAAGGCTATGCAATACATTTGCTTGCCGCTCATCGAGATCAATGGGAGGCCTGTGGCCATGCCCTTTCACAACACCAAGCAGCTGGTATAAGTATTCGAGCTCTCTGTCTGACGGAGAATTTTTTTTTTCAAAATATGAGTTTTCAGCAGTTACACATTCAGCCATCTCCGATTTCAAGTGCTCCCACTCATCCTTCTTTTGCTAGTACTACTCCAGTTTACCCGCGGTATCATCATGCTTTTCAACACCAGGCTTATGGATTGCCAAGCAGCCTTCATACCCCATCACAGGTCACCCATCCATCAAACCTTCTGCCGCCGGCATCAGGAAGTTATGTGCCCTACATGCCTCATCCTATCTAGTACATGCCACCTCCACCATTCGAGAATGTCACAATGATGGTCAATAATACACAAAAATCAGCTGCAGGCACCAGGAAACAAAAGAGTACTGCTGCTGCCAGTGGTACTAAGGCACCAAAAAGCGAAAAATAACACAGGAACAGGTGTCCCTTCCACAGCTCCCATATGTGGTGTTGGACCTTCAACAATGGCACGAACGGGAGGCAAAGCAGTCGAGGAAGATTGCAAGGATGCTAGAAGGGAGTTAGAGTGTTATGAACGTGAGCCGCCAACACTCAATGCTGGCGAGCGTGTCACTGATCTTGTGCGTTATTGGGAGGTAAGCACTCCATTTGAGGCATGGTTTGTACAGCTAATCATTATCCTTCAGCGCATGGAGAAACATCATCCAACCAACCGCGTCACTGGTGCACATTGTGCATCCAGATGCATCATCTCTTCGATTGAGCAGAGGTCAGTCCGTCTGTTCATTTCTCTCATCATGCTCCTCACCTGTTTTTAGTGCTGCCATAGTCCGTTGTCCAGTCGCCATGCATGGAGAGACTCACTGTCCGTGATTATGGGCTCGTCAAATGGCACTGGCATCACAAGCTGGTGGCTTCCTTGGTTTCAGTGCAGGACCAGACCCGAGCGAACGGAGGACTTCATTTGGAATAGTAAGTCCTGGTACCACTGTCGACAATCTTGGACTGACAATATTTGTTGATAGAGCCCTAAGTTATTCATCAAGGGAACCCCATGGTCTCTCAAGTGAGGGTCTCTGCACTCCATGCACTCGCACTTAAGCCCCTACTCTGCAGGGAACGGATGTTGACAACCCAGTGGGCGACGTCAAATATCATCTGGGTGCCAATTATGTTCACCAACGCCGTCTGGCAAGAAGGTCTCCTTGTCGCTTGTTGCCAACCCATCACATCTAGAAGCCGAATATCCAGTCATCCTGGGCAAGACCTATGCCATACAGAATGTGGAGGGCAATGAGTCCACTCACAACACTGCCATGGGTGTGCTGCTTCACGGTGATGCCGCATTCGCTGGGCAGGGAATAGTCTATGAAACCATGGGCTTCCACAACTTACCCAACTATGGTACTGGTGGCACCATTCATCTCATCGTGAACAACCAGATCAGTTTCACTACTGACCCTCATTTTGCTCGTTCCACTCCTTACCCTTTCGATATCGCCAAGTCCATAGACGCCCCAATTTTCCACGTTAATGGTGATAACGTTGAAGCTGTCAACTTCGTCTGCCAACTTGCGGCTGATTATCGCACAAAGTACAAACATGATGTTGTAATCGACATCGTTTTCTACCGTTGTTACGGCCATAATGAAATGGATCAGCCCCATTTCACTCAACCGCAGATGCATCAGGTGATTGAAAAGCAGCCAACACCACTTACCCAGTACACGAAGTTCTTGGTCGGCCGTGGGACCTTTACTGAGAAGGATATCGAGGAGCATAAGAAGTGGGTTTGGGGGATGCTGGAGAAGGCTGCTGGTGCGGCGAAGGATTATGTTCCGACCAGCAAGGAACGGCTATCCGCATCTTGGCAGGGTTTCCCTTCTCCCTGGCAATTGGCAGAAGAGACACTGCCAACCCGTGCTACAGGTTCTGATGAAGATATTCTCAAGCGCATTGGAAAGGCCATTTCATCATATCCTCCTGGTTTCACCCTGCATTGCAACCTTGCTCGTATCCTTGGCGGCCATGGCAAGACAGTTGAAGAAGGTCACAACATTGATTGGCCAACTGCCGAGGCTCTTGCATTTGGCTCTCTTGCACTTGAAAAGATACATGTGGGCGTCCCCGGTCAGGATGTGGAAAGAGGTACATTCTCTCAGCAGCACGCTGTCATTCATGATCAGAAGAATGAACAGCAGTATATCCCTCTGAATGACCTCAGTTCAAATCAAGCTTGGTTTGTCGTATGCAACTCGTCATTATCCAAATATGGAACTCTTGGGTTTGGATTGGGCTACTCACTAGTTTCACCGAGCTCCCTCACTATGTGGGAGGCACAGTTTGGCAACTTCGCCAATAATGCCCAGTGCATCATCGATCAATTCATCGCCTCTCGCAAACGGAAATGGTTGCAGCACTGTGGCCTTATAATGAGCTTGCCACACGGGTATGATAGTCAAGGTCCTGAGCATTCAAGTGGAAGGATTGAGCGCTTCCTCCAACTTTGCGACGATCATCCCAACGTCTTTCCTACACCAGAGAAAGTTGAGAGGCAGTACCAAGATTGCAATATGCAAGTTGTGTATCCAATGTACGTGTATCTTTCCCCCATGACGCCTACTGATCAGGTTGTCTCAGTATGCCCGCTAATTATGTGAGTTCTTTACTTTGGTTTCGTGAGTATCCTGCTGAGTGTCATGAATGTTACCAATTGCATCTAAATTTCGATTATCGAACCCTAAGTCACCTATCTGATAAGATTAGATAAGATAAGATCCCTGATAAGATAAGATGGATAACCGATTAACGATCACTATCTTTACATCACATCTATACTACATCAATGTCATCCATCTATATCTGTAACCATAGACATCCGAAGTCATCACATCCTTAGAAGTCCTACGATTAGGCAACGGGTTACATCATAAGCATCTACACGCCTCTATGATCGAACCATAACCGAGAGTCCTTTACGAGCCATCTCTCGAAGAGTCATCATCCCTTCACATCGCAGACCTTCACTTCCCACACATGACATGTTAAGAGTTACCTCCGTCATTCACCGAACCCCTTACATAAGAACCTGTTGCACAGTCACAGCTAAAACCCTGAACCCTATCACAGAAGCGCCACTCATAGAGAAGCATGCTCATTACCGAAGACCCTGGAGAAACCCTTAGATCCGATCAAACCCGATACATCAAGATCCTTAATTACTGCTCGAGACTTCTTGTCACAAAACTCTCTCACCCTTCTTAATCTCCGTTCACCCTGAATAGAAGCAGTACCCTGAGACCCTGCTTAATCACCGATACCCCTATGAACCCTTTCTGTAGTTGATTGGTTGATAAGACGCCCTATACCCTAGGCGCAATGTTATGATCTTATATATAGATATATCACTACCTTTCATACTCAGATATCTCCGCCTCAATAGTAGTATATAGTTTAGGTCGTAGTCAGTAGTACTCCTTAGACTTAACCTCTTCGTTCCTACCCAGTGTAGACTCAGACGTTCACTCTCAATAACATCTATTGCTCTTATCCTTGACGAGTCCTAGTGGTTGTGTTAGGCCTTTACCATTTGGTGAACGCTGATCATAACACTGAGTTTCTTGCAGTTCCATGTGCTCTGTCGTCAAATTCACCACGACTTCCGCAAGCCACTCATTATTTTCTTTTCCAAATCACTTCTGCGCCATCCCAATGCTCGTTTGGATCTTTCGGAGATGGTTGGCAACACTCACTTCGAACACTATATTCCCGATTCCCATCCTAAACACCTAGTGCCTGCTGAGGAAGTGAGGTGTCACATCCTCTGCACCGGTATGTCGCACCGTCATTTTGTTTTTGAGTGACCTCACCATGGGATTAGGTCAAGTATACCAGATACTCATTCAGGAGTGTGACGCCAAGGGCATCAAAGGTGTGGTCATCAGCTGCATTGAGCAAATCTCACCTTTCCCCTACAACCTCGTGAGTAAGCTTAGTTAGGTCATCTACAGTGTTTCACTAACATTTACAGATCACTCCTCATCTTTGACAAGTATCCCAACGCAGATATACTTTGGTGCCAGGTAAACTTTTTTTGTCGATTCTTGATATTCCAGCTAACCCTTACATAGGAGGAGCCATTGAATAACGGGGCGTGGACTTATGTTGGACCCCGTATTCTAACTGCCACCAACAAGACGCAGTACCACAAAGGCAAATATCTGTACTACACTGGAAGGCAGCCAACGAGCTCCATCACTACAGGTAGCAAAGTGAGTGGTTGGGCCTTTTATCTTCTACCTACTCTAATGCATGCGAACAGGCCCAGCACAAGAGAGAAATCGAGGAGTTCTTAGCCACGGCCTTTGCTTAATAGTGTACGTACGATGCTCAGTGACCATAATACATATTGTAGCGGCGCGCAAGCGCCAGTCTCCTCTTTTGATATGCTGGCATACAAGTGCTTTGGGCATAGCAATCATTAATCTCAAGAGTATTTTCAAGACCAAGATCTAGAGAGCTTACTGTGAATTAGCATTGAGCATTCTGTGAGGTTAGACAATATTTGATGGTGAAAGAGCACATGATTGACGATCAATACAGTCACGATAAAGAGATAAGATCATCTACTAGATTGACAGATGCACGTGTGGTAAGCCTAGGCCTGCCTAGGCTTACAGTTCAACTGGTTCCGCGGGATCAAACACTTTAGATACTACTAATACTAATCCATACCATCAAGCATTAATTTGCTAAAATAACACAGCGCTCTTCCCTCAAAGTGCTGTCCCTCCTGGATCTAAGTCATGACTTACATCTACAACAACAGGCCAGGGGTGACCCGGATTACATTGTTTGAACACACTGTGAGTGTTTGTATTTTCACCAGTGCACTTTTGCATTACACTGATGAAACATCCCTATCGCATCGCAGGGCAGTTTCAATGACCTCGGCTTTGACCTCGACTTTGCTTGTTACATCCTGTCTCGTACGCATATTGGTCCATGCTATGTGAGTTTTCTACTAGTGCCGTGACGATGCGATCAATCTAATTCTATCAGTGGCCAACAGAAGTACCCATATACGACTTCTGGCCTCTATCTGACGAACCCTTGGGTTATATAGCTATGAATTATCATGGCGGTCTGCTTGTGGTACCCTTAGAAAGAAAGGAATATGATGTCCTGGTACCCATTTATGGGTTCACTGTGAGTTATTGTTACTTCAGTGCTTCAAGTTCTTAAAACATCATGATACATCACCATATAGGCTCAAGATGATGGCAAAGAACTTTATGATACTGAAATGGTATCGAGAGTTCACAAAACCAAATTGATTTCTGTATGGACATGGCTTACTCGTGAGTTTTTTCTGGTGTCATACTTCTATTTCTGACTGACATGAGCAGTCGAAAAGAAATTTGATGTACAACTAGCACCTTGGCCTTTTGGTCACTATCTTACTGCTACTTTCAACAACGCTGACGACTGCAATGACAATTTTACCGACAACTTCAATGATGGCACGCACAGTGAAGCGTTCACTGATTATACTGCAGGATCCTACTACCCACAAGGGTTTGGTACATTTTTTCAATTTCAGGATATCCATCTATTGACCATGATAGGGTCTCACTATGGTTTCATACCCAGCGCCAGTATGAGCTCGCTGGCACTAGCACTGGGATCACCCCCAGCGCCAGCACAGCCGATGGTACCTGCTTCAGTACTGCCAACGGCATCATTTATGGTGCTGTCAACAGCATCATCGATGGCACAGTCAACAGCACCTTCGCCAACACCACCAGAGCCACTTCATGAGCTGATTTTGTTGCCATAAGATCTTGTTTCTCTAGACGTAATGAGGCCCACAACCAACACCTTCCCTGCAGAGGAGCTTCGCTGGACCAAAACAACCTCAGATCAGAATGCTTATTGTCAGTCTATCTTAACCGAACTAACAATCGACCACCCCTGGGCGATCATATCCCGATCAATGAAAGCTACCCTCATGGGCAGTCTCTTCACTGGACGCTATGGAAACGCCATGAGGATCATCAAAATGTCACCAATAAGGCGACAGTTCATCACCCTGTGCTTTTTGGAAAGCCTGTCAAGGAACCAATTGTCTCTTCAGGACTGTCAATGCATTGAGCGCAAGTACCTCTGTTTTTAGCCTTTGATTTCTGAACTCATTTTTGTATTCTATCCCCAGTCGACTTTAACCCAGGAATTCGCTTCCATTGGCATCACCTACAAGAAACGGTGAATGCATTATAATTGTTCCTTAATATACTAACTTAACAACGACAAGTACGATCACAAACCCAACTCCATGGTCTCCGAACTTAGAAAGGTGCTTGGTCATTGCATGAAGCCTGGCAACGATATGGGTTTTTGTGTGGATTCTCAGTCTTCACACGAGCGCATTGTCAGGATGACAGCTGTCATCGATAGCAATGTCCAAGCTATTGATGTAAGTGAATTTGACGCTCTCATGTATTTGCTTGGGTATGAATCTATTTGTAGTGGCAAGTTATTGTAGAAATAGTCAACCTACAGATGGCCAGGGAACTCTGGCATCACATGCTCTTACGTCCCACTAGTAGCCAACCTTCCAGTTGTGTTGCGGACGTCTACTGGGATCAAATTGTTGACCATGAGGGAAACCCTTCGATGACAATAATTGCTCTGATTGTTTGCTTGGTGAGTAACTTACCTACATGGCGTCTTTAACATTGATCTTTCTTTTCAAGTTTTATGAGTGGTGTCAGAAGTCACTCCGGATGCAGCTTGGCAAGACTGGTGACACCAGTGTAATCAAAATATAGCAGAATTATCCGCATCGAAGGAGCACCTCTGGTCAAGATACATGAAGCCGCTCGAGAATTGGTATACATCAAGTATTAATTTCACTCTTTCTACGTCTACTTCATGTTAATCCTACAATAGAGACTTCAACATGTATGGTGTGGACAGAGATGGCAATCGCAGGAGAGCAAATATAGGACCCATCATTCAATCCTATGCACGTCCCCTTCCATCTCAGGGGACTGTGGCCCTAGAACACTTGCAGCATGAGATCCCCATTGAATTTTTTCAGTAAATCATGCAATGTCTCTTTGTCGCTTGAAATCAAAATTTGTAATAACATTGTCCTTCTTTAACCGGTTCTCCTTCCAAATTGTAATTGAAGGCTCGAACCGGATTTTACCGGACATGAATAACAACCTATCTCGGAAATGTTTGATAGCTCTCGCGTCGGTTTACTGCCTTTGTTTTATTTTAGCAATCACAAAGCGCACACAACTAATGTCAAACATGTTGCTGATGAAGTTCCTTTTGTCCCATGAGGAGAGCCTGGACCAAGGCATACGAACAGGCGAGCATAGTCCCAGGTGAGTGATACGTGCTTGACCACAGGGGTTCCTTTTCAATGACATATTCACCATGCAGATAGCGCCCATCACCCGCTACCTCCACCTGAACGCGTATCAGTGGGTATCCAGGCTCAGCCATCATGGGCAGTGAGTTCAGTCCAGGCAGTTCCAATCACGTCAATGCCTATCGCCTCCCGAAGAAACAAAAGATTTGAGCCTCGATACTAGTACAAGCCCGCTGGAGGTAGTGGCAAAATTGGTCTTTATCTCCGCCTCTTAACGCCCTTGTGAGTGCACTTTCACTCGCTCATACGCATGATCCTGAGACATAGTAGATAATGGACGAAGATCTCGAACGTACCTTATCACCAATGAGTTTAGGCTCTCCCTCTAGCACTCCTCCCTGATCTCTCATTGTCAAGCACATACCAAATGTTTTCAGAGTTCCAAGTCCTATAACAGAACCTCCAAGAAGCTCTCAAGACAGCAGTATGGACCTCTCAAGTGACGCACAAGATGAGAAGCAAATTGAAGACGATATTCACCACCCAGGGGATACTGGCAGTTTACCTGCACAACCCAGTACCCCTATCTCAATGCCTGCGCCCCTATGTTCCAATCCTCCACTTCAAACACCTACATTCATTTGTGCACCGTACATGCGGATCAAGAATGATAACGATGCTGGCGTCAGAGATATCGTTTTCAGCTCAGTCAGTGAACGAATGATTGTCGCGCATCCTTTTCCTACATGATAGAACAATGGCGTGCAGACCCCAAAGTTGTTGCTACAGCAACTCCTGGGACGGCTGTCAGAGATTTTGTGCGGCCTCTTAAACTGTATTTAGTATCGGGCACTGATTGTTTCCTCCTTTAGCAACCCATGCCACCTCCTGGACCTCACCGGGAGTCATCCATCATGCCTGCCCCATATACTGATTCCCATCCCTCAAGCCAAGTAGAATCCGACCAATCGCAAGTTCCCTCCCAGAAACGAAGCCCCCCACACTCAAGAAACCCACTCGACTACTTCAACCTGAGACAATGATTCCACTCATGAACACAATCTACCGCCAGCATTCCAAATATAACTGTCGAACCACCTGTATGTGTTTCTGATATGAGACATATTTGCTGTTTACTTTTTTTTTTTTTTTTTTGTATCTATAGTCCAATGAGGCTTCGACGCCGTCTGAGCACACACATCTGTCACATCTGGAGCTTCTGAGTCCTCATCGGCCGCTTCCTCTGGCTCAGAGTCATGAAGAACGGGATCAGTCAAGGGTGCCTGAAGGTCGATCTGGAGATGCACATGGTGTTTATCGCTCAAGTACGGCTGCACAGGCACAGCCTTCATGGCCAGAAGCACCAGGACGTGAATGTGAACACAATCAGGACAGGGACTCCCAATCTCAATCGCAATATTCTCGCTCAAGAAGCCAAGGACCTATATAAGACCATGCAAAGCCTTGCAAGGGCGTGTTAAGACCAGTGCCTGACTTGGATATCTGTCAAGTCCGATGTCTGGTCCGGTAAACTAAATACCAGAATTCCGTGAATTCCTCATTCTAGAACTTCTGGGATTTTTAGCAGGTAGGGTTTTCTTGCGATTCAAAAACATTGATTACAGTCCCCAAAGGCGCTTGTATCTTCCAATGTCCTTGAATTCACCCCATCTCCATGCTCAGAACCTTACCTGCACCTGTCCTCTCTGTCACACCCGATGCAGTGAAAGGTCTTCAAGGACAAGATGCCCTTTCAGCTCTCTGGACTAGTAAATTTTGTCTGCATTATCGGTTAGCTTTCTAACTCTCTTTCTAGTTTTTACAAAGTGCAAAGAGTCACAACCATCATCTAGGTTCCTTCTACCGCCACTTCCCCCGCCCGCACTAATCATGAAACTTTAAGCATAAGCGCAACAGTCGGTCCCACAGTCCAAGCAACATTCGTCGTCGCCAGTACCTTTGAGGGAGACTATGAGACCACTGATACGGATGACTTCCTCCAAGGATATGGACGCTGAGGACGAAGGCCGCAAAGACAAGCAAACCGTGACTGGGCTACTATATGGGGCTGCACTGGAAGCTTAGCACGAACCTGACCTCTTCGCAAAGGTTTCCAAGTGTTCGTGCTCGAATGTCAATTATGTAGAAGGTGTCCTAGTCATTACCTACACGCTCGCCCTTAGGGACATGAGATAACAGGACAATACCAAGAACCTTGAATATTACAGCCAAGAATGTGTGCAAAGGGCCGCCAAAGTAATTGCATAAGTCCTCCGATACCATTGCCAATGGTATGTGATAAGAGTGCAAGTGAAGGCAACCGAAGGTGTGACATGTTAACCTCAGGTCAAAATGGCACCCGAGGGGCCTATGACAGCGATATTACAGCCAAGTGATCAAACATACTCATTCAATAACTATATAGCATGCCATGGCCAAGTCCTTCAATACCATTGCCAATATGTGAGAAAAGTGCAAGTGAAGGCAACCAAAGGTGTGACAAAATAACCTCTGGTCAAAATGTCACCCAAGAGGCCTGTGACAGCAGGACCATACCAGGAGTCGTAGATATTACAGCCAAGTGATAGAACACAATCATTCAATAACTACATGGCATGCCATGGCCAAGTCCTCCAATACCATTGCCAATATGTGAGAAAAGTGCAAGTGCAGGCAACCAAAGGTGTGACATGATAACCTCTGGTCAAAATGTCGCCCAAGGGGTCTGTGGTGCATCAGTAAATTCGCACAATCCTTGTGCTCGCTTGTTTCGAAAATTGAGACTTAATTTCACTTGTTCACTTGTGCCAAGTAACCAAGGAGGCGCATGTCGCACAAAAGCCGAAAAGTAGTATAAGAGCACAAGTTGAACACACAAACATGAAAAGTAACTGACGAACGACAAAGTTGGCAAGTATAAAATTGTGTAGTCAATGATACTGTGCTATGAAGTAGTAGGCTGCCCGCACCAATACTACTAGTACCTCATCCCTGACCGGCGGATTGATCTGCATGATGCTAACTAGTACATTAGGCCTGGGGCTTGCTTCCTCCGAGTCTGCGCAATAAGACAAGTACCGATAGCGTCACTGGCAGCATCCTGGAGCCTTGAGAATCTTGGTGAAGTACTGAGCACCCTCTACCTTGAACATGGCCTCGAAGTAAGGTTTGTCAAGAGGGGGGAGATGCTAGGTGTAATTAGATGATCTGGCCATTAGCAACAGACTGAGGATTGAATTGAGGACTAACCTGAATGTTCTGCCATAAGGCAGCAATGTCATGCGCAGCGGTCATGATGCTATCTCGAAGGCATGGTGATCGGCATATTTGTTGACGTAGAACAAGCGGAAAGCATCATAGGAGTGATAATACTTGAGGGAATTGGGAATGAAATCGGAACCGTAGACAGGGATTAGATGTGCTGCGCGGTAGACTGTATCAATATGAATCACGGTGAGGTTTGGGGAGTCGTCGTCATGAACACTGGGACACACTATCCACATGCCAGTGTCCTCGTCAGTGCAGTCGCCGACCTTGTCAAACCAATGAACGAGAGTGCAGGGATATAATTCCCAGTCATGTTTGAATGAAAAGAAGGACTTGATTCTTGCAACTTCAAGTCCTTGCATCCCTTCAGCACCCGGATTGGTGTTGATGAACACACAATCATTACGGGCGTAGACATTCCGCCAGAGTGGACACACACGAATCTGTTCACGTCACATGCCGCCAACGCCGCTCGGATCACTGGGGGCATAGAACGTCGCAGCAGCAGAATTGAAGATGTAGAGTTTGCCCTCATGTCGAGGGCAGCCAGCAGCAGGTACATCTTCGGGGTCTCGGGGATCATTAGGGAAGAGTTGGGAGAAAAGGAAGTATCAGATGAGGCGTCAGAGGTGTGGAACGTCAACCTCCACTGCTAATTCTGCTACCGTCCGTGCCTGTTTACATTCTGTGAAAATCATGATGAGTATTGAGAACAATTATATCACAATATCACTCACAGGGGTCTTTGCGAGCTGCACAAAAGCAAGTACAGTCAGACCATCAACAGCTTCACTGTCGTCAATGCTGTCTTCTGTTGGCAGTACAACAGGAGGAGCACCTGCCAGCGCTGGTGGTTGATCTTCATGCCCTACAACCGTAAATAAGTATGCGAGAAGACAATTAGATATGGAAGTACTTACGGAGAGCGGCCACAGCTCATGATAACACTGAGCCAACAAGCATCCCTCGTGTCGCAAAGTCTACATGAGACGCTGCAAGCTTGTCGAGGCGTTGGTTGGTCAAAAGCATTTGACCGAGGGCGTTGTTCTTGCTGGACCACCGCCAGGGATTCTTCACAGCTTTGATATGCTTGGATTCCGTGATCGACGAACATAATCCGTTCGGGGCGCCAAAGAGTCGGATCATGTCTGCATAATGGCACATTGAGTGCTGGCGAGGGAGCGAGAAGTGAGAGACTGTGCCTGTGGTTTCGAATATCTGGCGATAGCGGTGAAACCGAACCAATGCATCTTGAATTTGAAGCATGGTACATTCGGTAACGACATTGTGCCAAACGAGATAGCAAAATTCTAATAGTGCGCGAAATGCACGCACCATATCTCGAGGTACGTGGCCTTTGATAGCCGGAAGGAATACCTTCATGAGTGATTTTGAATTGTCACCCGTCCACTGTTTGAAGTCGCGGCCTTCAGGGAATCGCCGGAGGCCAGGAACAATGCTACAGCAGCAATTCTGACTTTTCATTAGACAATATCATTAAACTAATTAGACGTCACGTACCTGCGATCTACGTCGCTCATGATCTCGTCTCCTCATTTGGTCCCATGTGTGATTCTAAGGTACTTTACTACCCAGTCCACGAGATGGTCCTTGAAAGCGCCTTTGATCAGTTGGTGGAGGAGATCAAAGGACAGCAATTGATAAATATCGGCCCAGGGGAAGTCGTTTGTGAATGGCTGCATAAAATAGATTAGTATGTAATTAGAGAGCAGGTGGTTCCACTCACGACAACAACACTTATGTTACCATACTCATGCCATAACGTATCTGAATGCACGTTTTCATGTATCATTAGGTCGGTGTGTTCCCGACAGCGATGCATACCACCACCATCAAGGTTTGTTCGAATTGCGAGACATCTACAATAATTGTCAGTAGAAGTAGTGAGTGATTGCAAGTTCAAATACTCACTTTGGGCACCAATTTTTAACAGTGCAGGACAGCACCAGTTGCTCCTCGTAGTCTGCGATATAGGGTCCCAGACCGTATATGACATGTCGAAAATGACCATCTGGACAGCGCACGACCTCGTAATCAGTCATCGCAGGCTTGAGACTGGCGAGAATTAGGGAGAGCGAGCGGTGGAACAACTGGCGACGAAATGTACGAAATGTGTCATCATGAGTATATTTCCTATTAGCTGTAGCATAGATCAGATGAAGGGCGATGAGATTTCAAATGTTAACATGTACTTTTGGGTATAGAGAGGAAACCAATGACGACGAGAGCATCGCGGTGTGCGCGCTGCACATTGTTATGTACATTACCAATTGATGCATACAACGGATAGTACTCATTGTTGCCTGTACCGACGGAGACAGTAGTCTTGTCGCTACCGAGAATGATCGGAATGAACATCGATCCATGCGTATTGTGATCATTCGATATGTCATCCTGACAAGACATTAGTTATGCCTGAGTTATAACAACGAATCAAATACTTACAGCCTGCTGCCATGCCCAGTCTCCAGACATAAAGTCTTTCCATCGGCATGTGTTATCCGACGTGTCATACTCTCGGAACAGCGCATAGTCAATCTCACCCTTGTAGGTAGGGTTTGCTAGCATATTATGCACCATCAAGCGGGGGTCCCTATACCAGACTTCATATTCATTGTCCATCCATGGCGGGACATTATCCTCAGAGCGTTCCCCCACGTACTGAACTGAGAGACATTGCCAGGGGACATCGCCAAGTTCGGTGGTGTTGATGACCTTGTGTAGATCCTTGTGATCGGCGAACGGAGGGGAGTCGTTGTGTTTTGCCAGCATCACAGCCATTAAATCGAACAGGAAATCTGAAGCTGTGTGAGACATATGACATTGTTTGAACGTGAATTCCGCTGTTGCAAATTCTACGTCGTTGTGATACAGGCTCCAATCATGAGGAGACTTTGGTGGTGGAAGAGTTGGTGGCATGCCGGGTGGCAGAAACACACCGTCAGCCGTGCACGGTCATCCTGAGAACATACTTAAGTTAAAAACACAAACCACAGACTGGAATGTACTTGCCATTGAGGAGCGAGTGGTACGTGTGATAGTATCGCCCACTCGCATCTGTGAATTCTGCCTCTGGGGGGTTTGGATCCTCGTCACCAGCCATTGGAACAGGTGATGACTGCAGTGGCAGTGAGAGCTCTGGAGGTGGCATTGAGAAATTGGGAGGTGGCGGCGAGAAGTCTGGAGGTGGCGGCGAGAAATCTGGTGGGGGAGGCGAAACATCACGAGGTGGAGATGGTAACTGGTGCGGTAGGGGAAGATCCTCAAGGGGTGGTCCTAAAGCAGGCACAACATTGTGATTTGGGTGGACTGCACCCATATGTTGAGTGCGGCCTGAACGGTTTCGAAACCAGCACATACAGCCGGGAAATTGACATTCAAGCTGAAAGATGTTGTGAGTAGGGCGGATACTAGGCATAGTATTGGGTAGTATGGTGAATGCGAAGGGATAAATGACATTGCGCTGAGAAATTGCCGGTGATTTTGAGGCTCCAAGACTAGTATATTACATTTACTAGTAGGGTCAATGTATTATTCAGAGTCAGCTTTGGCTGCAAATTTTGAAGACATGACGAAACTCACCTTTGTCTCGTAACCCACCGCCTTCGACTTTCTTCAGCCTCCCAAGCCCTTCATCAGTATAATGTCCCAATCTACCACAGTTCCAAACCGTATGGTGACTCGTGCTAAAAACGCTACTCAGCATCCTGGACACATTTTGACTGCGGGTCGTGTAAAAAGACATACCATTGCTCAGAAAGCTGCTGATGACCAGCGTGAACAAGAGGAAATGGAGGCAAGTGAAGCTGCTGTTCAGGAAGGTTATCAGTGTATTGCTACTTTACAGGCCAAGATGCAGGCAGATGAAGATGCCGCACGGGTTGACGCACCTAAGCCCAAGCGTCCCCATGCACGCGCTGTAAAAAGGGTGCAAAGGCCATGGAGACCTCAACGTTGACCACAGCTCTCAGGAAGCCTGAGGCAGGCGCAGAAATTGCTGCTGATCAGGTCATTGGCACCAACGGCAAGGCTGGTGGTGGGCGTGGAGGTAGAAAGGTAGCAGCCAGTGCTAATGTGGAACACCCTGCAAGTGGTGAAGAGTTGAACATGCCAGTGCCGGGGGCAGCCAGGGGGAAAAAACCATTCAAGCAGGTGGTGAGGGATGCGATTCAAGCAGTTGTAGACGCTGATATTAGTATTGATGGATCAACAATAACAAAGGCACGTGATGGAGATATCACGTCTGACACGTGAGTGTCTTACCTTAACAGTCACAATGAAGCTCCTCCTGACTGAAACCGCACTTTTTTTCTTCAATCTTTCAATACTCAATGATGATGCTAAAAGCCCTAAGAAATTTGCACTTGCTGGATGTATCCCAGGTTGGATGTCAACTATTCCGGCCACCATATATGGGCCAGCCTCCAAGGCAAATCCCTCTACCGGCACGTCTTCCATCCAGCGGTCCAACATATCCAGCTCTGCTCCCCTTTCTAAACTCACAAAGGGGAGCACTATGAGTAGCAACAGCACACCCCCACTCATGCCCATCAGTACTCCTGATCCCGAAGGCCACATGGGGTCTACTTACTCAAGTCTGTTTGCAGATGACGACTTTGATGACGATGAGCCCTCAACAGCTTTTACAAACCAAGGATTTATGGTGAGTCTAATCACATTTATATTCTAATTCAATGCAATTTTAACCCCACCACAGGGTATTCAAATTAGTTCCAAGGCCTTCAAGAAGGTGGTGCCTCCGAATGTTGCACATCGTGACACAATCCTGGTACCTGATCAGTTCGATGCCATTGAAAATTTTGACAATGACTTCCTCACTGGCATGCATTCAGATATCGATGATGGGGCAGATCCCATCGCGGCCGATTTTACACAGCCTACCTCCCTAGTGGACTACAATTCTGATTCTGACTCTGAGCTACATTCTTCAGCCCATGAATCTGACCTTGAGCCCCCACCCCTCGCACAGAAACCCAGCTCTTGTCGCCCTGTTTTAGTAGACTTCGGCTCGCAGCCAGCAAGTCAAAAGCGGAAATCGACATATCTTGATGCAGACGACGACTTAATGACACCGTCATCTGAAGTTGAAATCATGGAGAGGCCCGATGCCATTATCTGAGTCAAGACCGAACCTACTGAACCAGTATCTCTGCACCAGCTGATGTCTGCGGTATGCTTCTCATTCCTCATTATGCTAACATTTTACTGACTATGATATGTTAGACTGGCATCACTGCCACACTCAAAGCCCCTGCAGCAAAGCGGCTGAAGTCCTCCATTCCAGACACTCAGACCGCTGCCCCTCGTACCAGCGCTGCATCATCCAAGGCAACAAAGCCACCAGTGGAGGTCCTCCATCGTTCTCTCTACAGGATGTGCCACCTTCCTGACGGATATTTGACAGGAAACAAGTGGAAGAGAGAGTTCATCCTGACTGTCCTTCGCTGTGTTGGCGATCTTGAAGAAGTATGGACCATTACTGACATAGATTTATGCCGTGTCCTGCAGTCAGTCTGGAATGGTGTCTACAAGGGTAAAATTCAACACACGGTCACTGTTGATGGGCCCATTATCTCCGTGGTAGGTGCTTTTTTGGATGCTACTGAAATCTGATTGATTTTTTTATTAGTCTCCAGCGGTTGTCAGATTGGTGCAACGCCCTCTCCCAGTCTGCCCTCATTGTATACGCACTCTTCCTGATCTCACAGGACAATCTCACTACTGATAAGGACCGCCAAGACTTTTCACACACCCTCCTTAAGGACTATGCCTTCTTGTATGGGGAAATAACAGACGACAGAGAGAGGTTGTACCCATTCAAGTCTGATCTTATCTTGCAGGTCCTTGTGCACCACATGACTTCTTCGCTTAATGCCATCAACTTGACGCTGGATACTAATTCAGGGCTGGGGAAAGGCATTCTTTCTCTTGTCATGGCAGCGGTGCGTGTTTTTTTTCATCTGCTCATACAGCTGGCTCATTCTCCATGTTTCAGGTTGAACGCGCTGTCAAGCTTTTGGCTGAGGGACACATGATCTTGAGCGAGATTGACACCACCCACAGAGGCAGAGGCAAAGCTCCCCAGGTGCATAACAATCCATGGGAAAGGACAGCACTATTCCACTGGCATTTTCGGATGCCAATTATGGCCAGATCACCCGGTCTTACTTAGCCGCTATTGAACGTCAGCCAGAGTCGGTCCTTCTCGAGATCTCGGAGCTCGCACTGAGCATTGCCATGAAGAGGTCTGGCGTGCCGACAGACATGAATGGCGAGGAATCTCAGGATGAGCACGCTCTCATCTGCTAGATGCAAGTGGTGCGCTGTCCTTCATTTTGTAGTCTAGCTCGCGACTGACTATTATTTGTTATCAGTACTACTACTCTACTATGCACCCTCGTTCTTCATGTGCTGTCTCGTCATCACCGCCGCTACTAATATTAATATTGTCGTCATGCATCCCCTTCGTCACGCCACATCTCAATTTCTCATTTTTCGCTCCATATTATTACCTTGCATTTAATGATACTTGGCAGTACTTGTTCTATACTTGCTCTCCCTTTTTTGCCTGTATCTTACTTTTCTGTGTACCGTTGAATTAGCTTGTCTGCTTGCCTAGCTTTAAATGCAGTGTTTTCATCATGTTTTCTCAAACCGAGTGTGAACAAGTACACGCAATTTTAATAAGGAGAAATAAGGTCGCATGCTTGTGTCTACTTGCTACTACTTGTGCTGCAGTCCATTCTCTTGAGCAAGCATGGAAAAAGGTAAAATAAGTACAAAAAAAGGTGCAACAAGAGGGAGGGGTCTACTTTCCGAGCTTGTGCAGCTTGTGACAAATGGACATTACCTGTCCTTGTGTGCAGCTTGTCCGTCCTTCCATGGGAAAATAAGTGGGACAAGTGACGGAAAAGGCAATCAAGCAATGTGAGAATTTACTGATGTGGCAGAACCATACCAATAGTCAAAATTCTGAGAGTCCAGACGATAGAAAGTAGCCATTCAACAACTATGTAATATTGCATGGTCAATGATTGACAAGGTTAATCCTGATGTATCTTTGTTATGGCGTCTTATCAAATGTGACTAGACATACCGAGGTCTCGGCGATTTCCTGATGAGTACATGAAGCAGTCACTCATATCGCGGGCATGCAGGAGTATATAGCACAAAATATTCACAACTCTCACAAAGGTTCTTTTCATAAGACATCAAGAAACATTCAATTATATTACCAACACTAGTAGATAAGACAATACTATCTATGCTCTTTACCGATTATGTATGTTGAGCGCGTCTAAGATTAAATGATATTAGCACCATGCAACTTGCAGCATACAAAAAACTTACTTTGTTGGCCTGCCGGTGTCGTTGTCATGCTCTCTTGCATTGAAAGGTTTTTGCACTCGGCGGCACCCCTCCGGGAGTGGCTCAAATTGATTAGCTGAGGTAGGTGCGGTGAGTTGTTGTGGACGCTTTCCACGAGAGGCTGAGTTCCAGCATCAACTGGCAAAGTCAGTGCTTCGTCCTGTGTCTCAGAACCTCCAACAAGGGGGGTTGCAGGAGGAACAGGAGGAAGAAAGACGTCAGGATGAGCGCTAGTGTCATTAGAAGTATTGACAGGGACGGTAGTTGCAGGAGGAACCGAAGGGAGAAAGACTTGGAGATGAGCACTAGTGTAAGCATTGATAGGGAGGGTAGTTGCAGGAGGGACCGGAGGTAGAGAGACTTGGGGATAAGTGCTGGTGTTATTGGAATCGTTGATAGGGGGGGAGTTGCAGGAGGAACCGGAGGGAGAAAGATTTCGGGATAAGCACTACTGTTATTAGAAGTATTGATAGAGGGTCGAGTAAGATTAAGAGGAGGGTTGTCCAAAATGCTGATGTTGAAATTCAGGTCATTGATGAGAGCGATAAATGCATCGTGGTCAAATGCAGAGGGGTCCGCATCATGGTTGTTGAATGAATTAAAGTGGGAATCACTAGGGAGCTGAAGACCAGGTGTCAATGATGCATCACGTGAGAGTGGCGTACCTCCAGGTGTGTTTTCAATGTCCGACGTGCCGTCTGTTAGCCACCAGCTTTGCCGCCGTTCTCCGCCGTTCTTGCCGTAGTGCGTGCCGGACTTTTCTGCGCCGGAGGGGCGGCTTCAGGGATGTTCTCCTAATTTTAGGCTACTTGAGAACACTAAATAACTTACATGAATAATAATAGGTACAACGACAAAACTTGAACAAAAAAACAAATCCTCCCGCCACCTGTAGAGTACCCGACAATTGTCGATCACATCGAGCATTTCCCGTGCTACACACTGCTGCTAGTTGACACATGCACGCGATCCTGGAAAGCAATAGAAGTCATGGCGGTTGCTGCATCAGAATCGTCTACGAGCTTAGCGTTGTATTCCCGAACGCTAAGGATCAAGTGTGGTCCCAGCACAAACATCTGCACGAGGAAGAAAATTTGAGTGATACCGCCAAAAATCTGACGTTCCAAAGAATATGGATATGCGTCCTATAGAAACAATGAACTATGGTCGCATGCAGAGGTCAGTGACAGATCAACATACCACTGAGATTGTTGAAAACGAATAACCGAACTGGAAGCAAGAACCAGCAACAAAGCTAAGTTAGCGCGTGCGAAGCTTCAGTGAAACGGAACAACCACATTCACATCACAACTTCACAAGCTCACCTCGTAAAGTAGACCACGTGAGTTTTCATCAACACCGTAAAACAGTCCCCGATAATCCCTCCTGTAGATGATCGTCGCAGTTCACGAAAATGTTTTACAGCAATCCAGACTGCGAGCCCCAGTGTGAGGACCTCCCATACAGTGGTGAGTATCCAAGTCAAGGGACTCAGAAGTTGGTCATTTCCCCCATAGTCAATAGCACACTCATAGGCGCCAAAGAGAATGTACACCTCTGGCATTCGTCAATGAGCCTCATGGTCTTCAGTATTTCACCCATAATTGAGCTTACTTCCTGAGGCATGCCTAGTTTTTATTCCGTTTGTCACTCCATTGGCGATGTTGACAGCCAGTAAGACGACAATGAGAAGTATCAGCACCTTTCTAGATCGCTGATACATAGCATGTAACCGGGTTATCATGATGACTTGCATGATATACCAGTGAGCCAGTATCACTGAGGGGTTGCAGCTGCATGGCTCACCGCCCGTCATTGCAAACACGACGATATTTGTCCACTCTATTGCGAGGAACCTGATACGGCCTGACGAATCCAGTTAATGATCAGCCTCGAAAGATTAGACTCCGGACAGACTCACAGCTGTGGGAGTCATTATATTGAGCAAACGAGCGGGTCAAGTCACTCACCCCTACATGGGAGTGCAATTAATTGGATGGGAATGGCAGCAACCGGGGCAAAATACTCACTGCATCTGTCATTGGGATGGTCCGAGCTGCAGCTGTATGCCGTAGGTCAGAAGACATAAACACTTTGTATGTGAGGAAACATACCCAGCATGTCGGTGCTGATTGTGGGAGATGACTGATTAGCACAACGACAATTGCCTAGCCTTGCAAACATACACAGCATATAATATTCCAACATAGCGCACCTAGAAAATTCGAGTCAGCCCAACTTGCCAACCACACGTGTTACGCAAGCTACATACACTGAGATACAGGACGGTCATTAGGGACCAGCGTTGCCTCTGTTGCGAATTGTTATCTAGTTCTTCTGATGTGAAACTCTACTCACCCAGACCAGTTCGACCTATACAACGATTCTTAGCGAAATGACTGCTTCGGGGGCATCAACGTACCTCTTGTCCGAATGTTAGCACTGATGATACGGTAAGGACATCCGACATCGGTGATTTTGAGAAGTATTTTGCTCACTGCAATCATATATCACCCCAGCGGAGCCGGCAACTGCGGAGCCGCAGCCAAGCTTAGATCAATACATCATCTGACTGGCTCTCCACAAACCTGTAAAATAGCTGTAAATGAGACCCGAATTCATGGCTGGCAACCAGATGGGATTATTTGAGACGACAGTCATACTGTTAGAGGATGGGTATGAAGAGGCGAACTTTGTAGACATATAATGATGGCGGAGCAGGAGGCTGGACTTGCCGTACACACACACTTCTAGGATTTCATCAAACATTGATCATCTAAACATTATCATCGCTCATGACAGGAAGATAAGCCGCGCCTTACGAGCGTCTCCTGGCCTAGACAAGGTCATGCTTGCAACTCTGACGAAATCCGATGCAAAAACGCCTATGCACAAATAAATGGATCATGCAATTAATGCCATCGGTGTTTTGGATACTGCTAAGTAGGATGGGTGGTGAGGACTTGTGGCAAGTTCAAGTTGTATGGCCCATACTATACAGCATATCGGGTTAGACTCGTAACCAGTTTGACTATGCAGAGTATGTGGTGCCCTGTTCCAACTAGTTATGGAAATATCGAGTCGCACATTGAGCATAGTGAAAACGAGTCAAATTCTACACATGAGTAGACTTTGTCGGAAATTTCCTAAGTCGGTTGCAACCACATGCCTTTGAGACTCGGTTCTAACCGTATTGATACCGAGTCGAGATGTTAGCATCAGTTAACTACTAATTATTCACGGTTATGGTGACACACAGGTGGTTCAAACGTTCACTTTCCACCCCTCCTACCTCATTTTAGCAATATATGCTGCAGAACAACTTCCCCGAACTTTGGATCATCCTGCTTGAGATCTTGCAATCCGTAACTTCATTAGTCATTCAACATCAGCGGGGCGCGGGATGCATCAGAAGGGCGCGGGAAGGGCGGGCGGTATGCAACAAGCCTAGCCTCCAAAGAGGGGGACACTGTGACCTCGTCAAGTCTCATCTCATCTCAGCCGTTCCCAAGTTCAGCTGCTTTCATTCTCGACAGGCTGCAAGGTGTTCGAAGCCAAATTAGCCAATGACGAACTGCCGTTGATAAATTAATCTACAGCTGTGTTATTGGCTAATCTGGATTGGGTCTGGATGAGGACTGCCTGCAGGGAGACTGAACCACGTCGTCGGGAAAGCAGATTGCGCTTCCTGTTCATGTTGAACCCGAAGTGTATTTTGAAAACGAGCGGACGTTCTTGGCAGGACTTGTGTTTCAGGTGGAGCACGTTAACTCATGTTTACCGTTGGTTTACCGTACAATGGCTCAGCTTTTCAGCTCAATTCATCTTAGCTGCGCCGCTCGCCATTTCCCACTCAGCTATCATCTTTGTCACACTGTCCCGAGTGATCTGCCTGCAGACGCAATCGGTGGAAGGAATCTAGTACAGCCCACTGATTCTTTGCTTTGTGTTGTTTGCTGCGCCAGGCGTCAACATTAGGAACGGCTATCTGCCTTCTATAGGGCTGGCTAGGGAAGACTAGTCAACATTGGGCCAGGGTGATAAAGATGTGATGGCATGGCTCAGGAGCAAATTGGGGCGAGGTGTGTCGTATTTATTGCCAGCTTCGCATGTACATATGCGGCATATTTTGATACCTGACCATTGCAATTCATTCGTGTCGTTTAAAGTTTATGATGCGAACATGCCAATGCAGTACTAGTGACTCCTTGGAGGCGCAGAATTTGATACACGTGTACTGCGCGATTTGATGGATGAGGGCAGAGATTACTCAGGGAAGCAAAGTGAGCGGAGATTATCTCTGAGCAATTGGTAACAAGACCACACACACGAAGCTATAAGTAAAGGACTCGCGTTGTTAGCAGACAACAACAAACCCCAAATACCTTCAACCTATCCATTGCAATATGTACACTGTAAGACTGGCTTCTTGCAGCACATTTCGTATCTTATCCTAATATGTGTTCGCAGGCCACTCAAGTGCCTGTTTCTCAAGCGGCGTGCGGCTCTAGCACCTGCCAGTGCGGCGACGCGTGAGCGGCACTATCTTTTATTACTCTTGTCCACGCAGTCTGATTCAGAATGCGTAGGTGCGCATGCGAGGCGGGAAAGTGCAAGTGCTGAGGAACTACAGCGCCCACCATGTATCAATTCAGTCTTCGTGATTGCTTGGAATCGACGTATCATTGTATGTTTGTTGTACAAATGATTATCATCATGACGGAGAGATGTGAAGTTTGAATGTTGTGAAGTTGTAACGATGATCTACTCTACTGCTAATCGGCAATGACAGAAAGTACTCTAATTGACCTTTCATCTCTCTCCCCGGTCCGGTTTACGCCCCAACTTCAGCATACATCCCCTATACTTCATAAATGTGCGGCGGGGATAGCGCGTGAGCCATGGAGTCACGAACCCAATTGAATATCAAAAAGGAAAAATGCTAGCAGACTCACCTTCGAGCACTTGCTGGAGCGTGACCGCGGCAACAACACCCGTATTACGGTGGATCTTATGCAAGACGACCTAACAGCGCTCAAGAAGCAGTAGTAAATCGCGTCAACAAGATACGCCACGACAGACGGAAATCACCAGGCCATAACAGGGTGGATCTCAATATGGATGTGACACTTACTGGGAGAGACCACATCAGGCCAATGGACTCCAGTGACGCCGTCGAGAATGGTAGCTTCAAAGCATGTCCAGGCGAGGCACCAGGAAACCTTGGTAAGTGAAGAGAAAACACGGTCTTACCAAAGCTGTACTGGTTTCATCAAAAGCAACCAGTTGGACAATCAGTATGTGGCGTTCTCCGCCGATATTGCTTGACCAAGAGCTTTTAGCATGCTGGGAGCACACGTTGACTGAATTTTTTGCTGTCTCATAAGCCTTTGTAAAACCAAGTTCATTTGAATTGCGGGGGACGCAACCTAGTAATCACTGGCGCAGTGGTTGTACTCGAGTTAGCACAAAAGTTCCACACCCGAGGATGTGGCTAACCCACTTCGGCACACATGATTACCTCAGAGATGGAGACGGGGCATGCACTGTGCTAAGTTCTTTCAAATATTCAGGTAGCTTATGCGGATTTCAACTCAGTAAGCGGTGATTGACTGTAGGCGTGAAGGTAGGCACTGACCTCGGATGATGGGCTCATGATGATGAAATACAAGCAGCAGAGGTTCATGGTGCGGGAAAATGAAATGCAAGTCATACGCTGGCAACATGCCCGTTGTACGCTCTATGGATACGAAAACGAAAGAATATGTTACAATCCAGGTAGTCACATACACGGAGAATGTCAGAAAACAAGTCATAGCCCACGAATCACGCGGCGATGCTAATCAAGGATGCCAGATTCTCTGCATCCATGTCACGTCTTCGAGGGACTATCCGACACGGAAATTTCACGGGACGCCTGCTACCGGTCAGCATTACACGCGCCAGTACCTGTAGGAGATACATACGACGCCACCCCGGAGGTCCACCGAGGTTCAAAATCGATATCTTTTCCGCTTGCGTCCTTAGCTTTCAAGAAATCAAAGACAGCGAGCATGGAAGCGATCGCAGACCATAGAGACGCGTCTGCAATGTGACGCCCCACACATATGCGTCGGCCCCAGCCCCAGATGGGAGTGACTTGATCGTCGTTCAGATCGCCAGAAGGTGTGAAGAATCGTTCGGGCTTGAATTCGAAAGGAGCAGGGTATTTGGTTGCGTCGTGCGTCATTGCCCTGGGAACAGGGATGGTGAGAGGGAAAGAGTTATTTTCAAGATTTTTCGTACCAGACGTTCGTTACGATAGTTATTCCTGATTGAGAGCATGTAAGAAGGTCAAAATATCGTCACTCAAGTCCTCTGCTCACCTTTCGGGATGAAGTATCCTTCATACACGTCATCGTTCACAGCAGCGTGAGGTACGGCTGTGGAATTGTCATCAAAGGGATCGCCAATCATAAATTTGCCACAGGCGCCTTACAGAGAGGTACAATCGGATAGAACCTCAATGTTTCGCGTAGGACAGCTTCAAGGTATGGCATAGAAGGGCGATCGCCAAAGTCGGGGAGTCTGTCAGATCCTACGACATGATCTATTTCGGCTTGAGCGCGTTTCTGAACTTCTGGATTGAGAACCATCGCTTGTATAAAGACAAGCAGAGTCGAATGTGTCTTAGGTCATGAAATCAAAGGTTGTTAACAAGCAAACGTTGTTTGCGGACTCACAGTCTCAGAACCAGCTGGAAACACAGTCAACTAATATCGCATGTAGATGAGAAATGAACTAACCCCCGAACGCAGTGGCACTAGACTCTTTGATTGCTAACTCAAAGGATGCGTCGCCTTGGAATCGCGCGAGTCCTTCGGAGACCATGGAAGGGGCAGACAACCCAGAGGACTAAACGCCTAAGCAGAACATCAAGCGCCTCAGAAGGTATGTACTTACAATTCTATCGAGCGCATATTCGAACGGTTTCTCAACCATATCATTGAGTACGCTCTTCAGTTCTAAAGCATGACGCTTGAATGATGCTCCGGGGAACCAGGCAGGGATTAAAGTCACTATGTTTGTGTTTTATCAAGGTAATCATCTCGAAACTGCGAACACCACCTACAGGCAGGATAGGAGTCAATGATAGCCGCCTTGCTTGGGGTCTCAGCATGAATAATTCTATCCATTGCCCCCCGAATCATGGAAATGAGGGGATCATCGGGCTTTGTTTCGTAGTCATAAACAGCAGACATGATGATGGATGCTGAGTGCGTTTCTAGATGCAGTTCATAGTTAGCCGGTTCATGGAGAAGATCGACCAGGAGCTGGTGCGCCTGGCGAAGCTGCATAGGTCGGTAGATAACAGCGGCTTCAGGGCGGAAGGCCTGATGGAATATTCGTCTAAGATATGGGCTGCATAAACAACCCCAACGAGCGCACAACCTATGCTTACCTGTGCCTACGCCAAGCATCACCGTAGCTTCGCATGACCGTCCTAAATGAAATACCAAACCTTGAAGAGCAACAGTATGAGTAGGTCTTACAACACGAGATCACGTTACTTGCAATTCCATTGTAGCATAACGGGGTCTGTCAGAATAATTGCTTGAGCGCTGCTCAAGAAGCGCTCGCGCTACCTTCTCAGAATTCAAGATGATGACATCTTGGTTGAGGATACGAGAGTATATGATGTCGCCTAGAACTCTGTCAAATACTGACTGGAAATCTCGCAGAATGGCAGAGGCAGACCATAGATATCACTCCATTCTTTGTACGTGATCCAAGGAAAATCGGTGTTCATGCGATGTAGGTTGCCGATGATGGGCAGGGGTTTTGGACCAGGAGGTAAAGGGAGGTGTCCCTGCGCTTTCTTCTTGGTGGAACTTGTCGTTACACCGATTATGGCAAGGAGAGCCACGACCAAAGCTCCATGTGCTAGGTCCATGACAAAATTCGGGGGAAACGTGAGAGAAGGTCAAGTTGGATGACCTCCCCATCTTTTATCACTCACAGGGATATCTAAAATCTCATATTGATAATTCTAATAGCAACGGCGGCCGCCACTCGTACCATAGAAAGTAGACCTGGGTACATCAACGTATCATGAGACTTGAGTTGATGGGTTCAGCACGTGCTATAGAAGGCTATCATAGAAGCAATTAAGCTGCATGTGCAGGTCAGAGAATAAGCGTGCGAGTACCAATAAACAACAACAACTAAACCACCGTCAAGTATATTGACTCGCCTGGGGTCTGGAAAAAGAGCAATTACTAGGTCTACTACGACGGTCCATTAGATTGACCTGCATGCACTCGAAACGGCAAATTGTCGGTCAAAAGAACTCGTGGGAATGCCTTTCATTATTCGATGTGACATGAAGGTCATGAGCTGCATGTGCAGGTCAAAGAATAAGTAAGTGCGCACTAACAGTCGAGGACAAACTAACTGCTTTGAGTATCGACTCGCCCGAGGTCTGACTTGGAAAGAGTTACGCTGGAAAAGAGCAATACTTTCGGAATCGGACTCGGACATTCCAATATTGACAAGCTTGGATGATTGGATCCTATGGAAGCAGATCCCTGACTCCCACAGATTGTGGAGAAGGTTGAAAGCAAACGGCCAATCACTGGCAGGCCGTGTATAAGGGCTTCACTCGTGCCGGGTGCTGCTTGCCGCGAGGTTAATGTGCTGTAGGCGAGGGGGCAGATCGGAATGCAATACTATAACCAAACCCGGCGGTAGTAGGGGAGATATTTCATGGGGCTGTTGAGGGGACTTCCCTCGATTATTTTAACCCAGTTCAGGTACTACCTCCATATTTTGTGATGATATAGTGTATTGCATTCCAAGGACATCAATATTCTTGACCTCGAAACCGGCAGCTTCGACTTGCACACATGCCGACCCAACCAAGTGAGCAAGTGTATCAGTGCCGGAGATAATGACGTTGTTCATGAAACAACCCCCAGAGCGAGCAAAAGAAGAATGAATGTGCGGAAGGCGTACTGTATCAAGAGATGGAACGGATACCAGCAACTTGGAGGGCGAAGGCGGCGGTGGCGTCAGAATGGTCCATCTGACGCAAGGATGCGCCATATCACCCAATTTCGTGACGGACGTGCGGCTGTTTGACCTATGGGCAAGTATTCACAACAAGATTAGTAACACGTATGGCAGGCCACTTACTTACCTCTGAAATCTTCGCATTCGCGTCGCATTTTCTGTGGTTCAAGAAAAGAAGAGAAGGCTATATGCAAGCGCTGTCACTGTGCAAGTCAGCCCTACCTGAAAACGTTAATTGGCCTGGCAAAGACTGCCACTGAGTGGGCTCATTACGCATTTGGCATAGCTCAGGACTTGTTTCTCGTAAATACTTGAGGGCGCTTCCAATGGACCACCAATCAAACGGTCCCTATTCATAGAGCCTGATGCCAGAGAAGGAGAAGCAATCACTTGAGTACTAGTGTTCTCACCGTCCTATAGCGCTAAGGCCTAATGCCTAATATAAGTATGTCCGAGTTGATCGATGTTCGGAAATCGGTTTCAGATTCACACGCTGCCATTTATCAGCACCCTCACACTACATAAGTACTAGGTTAGACTTTCTTACGGGCATCATATATCTGCTATAAGGCTCGTATACTCGTTCAAGAATGATCTCAAAAAAATAAAGAATGAGTACAAGACTACTTATAAGTGAGCACTAGTACTTACTGCACGAAATCACAAATGCGTGAACACATTACTCCCAATATGGAAATGAGTAAAGTCCATAAGCCTTTCAGTTGGCTGGATTGCTTCCTTCGAACGACCACCACGTTGATCAGTACTGTTAAGTATACACCTCTGGATCCATGTCATCCCCATCACGGCCAGTTAATATTGGCAGCCCACGCCAGGCTCATGCATTTCATTCAGGATCACTAACACCCACTGGCACACCAGACCTCCGTGCTTGGCGGGCACAGTATACCGGAACACCTCCAGTGCCCAATATACCTGCACGATTTACGCCAGAGAGCTTCACAAGCGGCTCTCCAGGTATGAACCTGCTTCCGCAAAGCGAATTCCTAGGCAGAGCCTCTCGTTTAACTTCTGCTGGCGGAATCAGCCCAGCACGACACTCAAGCTCTGGCACACCTAGAAGCGGTGTTGATTCCGGTGCTCTTGACCTGGACAACCACCCAGACGAGGATAAGGCCAGGGTTATTAGGCGTCATCTTTTGATGCGGGAGGAGAGACAGAACCGCGGAGACGCGAACTCAATAGCTGGCTCAGAATTAGATGGGCGTGTCTTCAACGACGATGCTCCATCTGTAGGTTCCTCTACCCCACCTCCTGCAACTCTCAGAGAGGAAACGGAGGCATTTCCGATACCCTATGAAGCTCCAGGCGCAGATATTACGTGAGGCTATGCTCATCTAAGAATTATGTTCCTTCCGAAAGCTAACAGCTACACCCAAGCCATGACATTTACAAATGGCACACCGATCAGCGTCGCCAGGCTGCACGGCCTCGTGCATCCTCTTTCTCAGGTTCTGTTGCGCCGTCTGCCCCTGCCTTCGAGCACATACACGAGCCTGGAGGATTTAGACGAAACTATGTTTTGATGCGCGCGAACGATCATGGTGGAGAGGAGCGTCGCCCAACTAATAACTTCATCGACTTCCTGTATATATATGGTCAATTTGTAAGTCTACATCCTCACCAATATGTCAGAGTCAACGCTCATCATCGGCAAACAGGCTGGAGAAGACCTTGAGGAGGAAGAGGAAGACAGGCTTGAAGATGAAGAAGCCACTATTCGTGCTGGCCCTTCTCAACTTGACTCGGAGATCAACGTAGTACTTGATGAAACAGAACCTTTACTCAAGCCTCGCTCAAGGTCGCGCACAAGACGGAGAGCAGCTTCTATCAGTCCTCACGGAGATGCAACAGTCACCCAAGCCGTTCTCATGGTATGTTTATTTATTCTCCGTGAAGGGTATAGTCTATTTAGCTTATTTTTCCAGCTTCTGAAAGCGTTCGTCGGTACCGGGGTCCTGTTTCTGGGGAAAGCGTATGTATTCTCGTGCCAGTCTTCCCTTTCAGAAGCTGAAAATGGTTGTTAGCTTCGCCAATGGTGGTGTATTGTTCTCGGTTATCACGATTTCTGTGGTGGCGCTCGTTTCCTTATGGTCCTTCCTACTCCTGGTCAGAACCAAGTTTGTCGTCTCTGGGTCCTTCGGAGGTCAGCTCGCTTTCCTTTGACTTACCTGTGTCTCACTCTGCAATGAAGATATCGGCGGTGCTCTATATGGTTCCTGGATGCGTTATTTAATATTATCTTCGATTGTGATTTCCCAGATTGGTTTCGTCTCTGCATACACGATCTTTGTAGCTGAGAATCTAAAGGTGGCGGTCCCGCATTCTATTGTCAATCCTGGACTGAACTTCGTCTAGGCGTTCGTTCTTGCAGTCACCAAATGCGAAACGGATTGGTCTGTGCAATATTTCATCCTTATGCAACTCGTGATTTTCCTCCCTCTCGCCCTTGTACGTAATCTCGCCAAGCTCAGCGTAGCCGCCCTCGTTGCGGATGCATTTATCCTTGCTGGGCTGGTGTACATATTTGGTAGTGAGATGTCGTTCATTGCAGAGCGGGGTATCGCCGAAGTGCAGATGTTCAACCCGAAGGACTTTCCCTTATTTGTTGGGTGAGTTTAGCGTTTAGAGCGTTGATTAGGGACTAAAGAATGGTCGTAGAACTGCCGTATTTTCCTTCGAGGGTATTGGTTTGGTAAGTCTTCATATTCTATGCTGGAACGAAGAAATATTAATGATGGTCTGGGTTAGGTTATCCCTATTACTGACGCCATGCGTGAGCCTCGCAAGTTCCCCAAGGTACTAACAGGCGTCATGATCGGCTTGCTTTGTAGGCGCCTTTTCAATGTTTTGTTATATGTTCAAGCCTGATCGTGCATTCTAACAGTCCTATTCGGTGGCGCTGGCGCGTTGTCGTACCTGACTTTTGGTTCGGATGTGCAGACCGTGGTCTTGGTCAACCTCGACCAAAAAAGCAAACTCACGCAATCTGTAAGCCTATCACGATATTTTCGTCGTTCGCATCTCATATCTGCACCCCCTATTTCAAGGTCCAGTTCCTGTACTCGCTCGCCATCCTCCTATCTATACCCCTCCAGTTCTTCCCTGCCGTGCGAATTCTCGAGAATGGGCTCTTCGTGCGAAGCGGAAAGCAAGATCCTCGCGTTAAATGGCTCAAGAACCTATTCCGCTTCGGGCTCGTCGCGGTCTCCACTGTCATTAGCTCGGTTGGCGCCGCGGACCTAGACAAGTTCGTCTCTCTGATCGGTAGCTTTGCTTGGTGAGCGCTGCATCGATACCCTTTGGAGTAACGATAGATTGACGATGGTTACAGTGTTCCTTTGTGTTTTGTATACCCTGCCATGCTGCACTACAAGGCTGTTGCTAAGACGCGCACGGAGAAGATCGGGGATATCGTTCTTGGCGTAGCTGGTATGGCCGCAATGATATACACCACTGCGCTGACTGTCCAGGTATGAGTTGTCCTATGTTATGCAGATGTAGTATCTCATACTGATCTGATGTGCGCAGCTGATGGCAGAACCTCAAGCACCTGCTACCATTATTGATGCGTGTTGAACGTCAAGAGACTATATTGTGATGTCATCTGCAAATGAATGATGGACGCCCATGGCTGATGAGGGGGGGTTAATGAATCCTTTACCGTTAGCACAGACTCTTGTTCTAATAACGTGATGTTCTGCGTACGCCAGATATCATTTCATGTTTACATCTTTAAACGACTGTGGGAAGCTAATCTAGGGTTGTTGCAGACATGCACCATGCACCATTCTTCTAGGTGAAAGTTCTGTTTGATCCACGACTTTGTTGTGGGTTGGACACGCAGTCACTCGCTTGATCGCTGTGTACATAACCAGTGACTGATATGCTAGTCGAACCGAGGTCCCGAAGTGTCTATCTTGAGAAAGCGCCAGTATTGATGAGTACTAATCCCGTACTTAGATCGCCCTTTGTTCACTGTTGACAGTAATTAGCAGTCAGTTGTAGGCGATAAGGAGGTAGCTATTGTGAAGCGATGGAAATGAGGCTACCGCGCCGTAGACGGGGGCCTTCTTGAGAGTCCCCTCAACAGGCGCTACACACGTGTTTACCCCCGTTTTCTGATCATTGTACAAGTCTTCTACCGATCCAGAGACCCTCATCGAAAACACGCTGATCACCACATAAATGCCCTTTGCAAAGAATTGACATCCTTTGCTTTCCCCTCCAGCTGGAGCCCGCCAGACGTGTCAACCGGCTCCCCTCTCTTATTCGATCCGACGATCATATCAACTAAAACTATATTGATCCTTTTGTTCATAGTATGCCTGTAGCAACTAATGCGTCTAGTTCCATTCCCCAACCACGTTCCATGGTCCGCCGAAAGCCAGCGCCAAGTATTGTGCTAGATGCACGATATCCCTGCCCTGACCCCGACGACCCATTTGCTCCCCTCTCAGTACTTCGTACTAGAACTGCTAGTACACTAGGTCTCCTCACCTTCAGTGGTGACTCGACGTCACAACTACCGACCCTACCATATACCGGCGGCAGTCCTTTCCCACCTGATCCGTATCAAATGACGCCGCCGGCGAGTCCCGTTTCTGTAAACAAGTTCGAGTACCTTACGACATTCAGCACTAGAAGCAGCTGTGATATTTCACAAAGCCTCCATGACACTTCCTCAGACATAGGACGATGGCCGCCGCCCCCTTCACAAAGCGATTCGCCAAGTATTCGCACGTTGCCAAAGCGCAGGCGCTCGCGATCAGCCGTAAATTCGCGGAAAGAAGCACGGGTTAGCACGTGTTCCGCGTCCCCCGGGACGTCACCGTATGGCCATACAAATCTGCAGGCATATGTATTAGCCAGTTCCAGGTTTCCCTCTCCTTCGTATTCTGCTCAACCTTTTCGGATGCAGCACAACGCGAGTCATGGCAGCGAGAGCCTCCTCCCGCTTGTTATTCCACCAACTCGGCATGATTCAGCTCCGGTGCTGTCTTTGCTGTGCGAACCCAAGGGCTCAACGTTCTCTGTTGAGCCACTGAACGGGTCTCGTTCTCGTGTTGGGAAGCTCGCGCGATTCCTTCCTAGGAAAACTCGTAGCGGACTCAGTCTCGCTGAGTTTCCTAGTGAAACTGGGAACGCGAAACACCGTCACCATCAATCCATCCCCTCGACGCCCACCACTATCGGAGCGCCTTCGGAGCGCCCGTCCAAGGAGAAACACGTTCCAGAAGAGAACATGTTTCGCCCACGGCGCAAATCATCAACACTATTTCCGGTGTTGATTGCTGCGAATATGCAGTCCCTTGATGTCTCTTATCCTTCAACGGAAACGTCTATATATGACTCTCCTACCAGCGCTGAGCCTGGCAACATGTTCGACCCCGGTAGCTCTACCTCACATTCCCCTTCCACTCCCGTGCCTCTTGTTTCTGAACCGGTTCCTCTCACTCCGAAGAAACCTCGGCCTCAGACGATGCAGCTTCAGCCGCGGCTCGTTCATTTGAATGAGCAGCCGCCGTGCGAGAAACAGACATCGCGTCCATCTACTGCTCCTTCTAGTTTCGCTCACATTTTTGACGAGAACGCCCTTCCGACAAAGAAGCAGCTGGTAGACGCAGCGTCCTGTGTCGTCGTGGCTGAAAACGGCCTGAGGGTTCCATTTGGCGACCTCTTCCGGGAGCAGAAGACGGTCGTTATATTTATCCGACATTTTTGGTGAGATTATTAGTCGATATTAAACGCGCTTAGGCTTATTTTGTTCTTCCAGGTGTCCGATGTGCCAGGATTATATGTTTTCTATCGCCAATACTGTAGATCCCCAAGTACTCAAGCAGTCGGGGATCAATCTTGTTGTCATCAGCAACGGCTCGTTTAACATGATCAAGTCATACCGACGTAAGCGCGCTACTTTTCGTTTCATTCAACCTAGGCTCATTCTCCCCAGAGATCTTCCGGACGCCCTATGCCCTGTATACCGATCCCTCGTCTCGTCTCTATGGCATTCTGGGAATGACTATGAAATCGATCGACCCAAAAGAAGAGCAGCGTCGCAGTAGCTACGTACGGCATGGTCGTGCGGGAGGCATTGCCATGGTCATTGCAAATGCTCTCCGTGTTGGCATGCCTGTCTGGGAAAAAGCCGGTGATGTTACTCAACTCGGCGGCGAGTTCGTCCTCGGACCTGGGTCAGTCCACTCGTTAACATTGCACTGACGCGAACTGATCGATGTCACAGAATGACGGCATCGTATGCGCACCGTATGCGAACTCGCAGCTCACATGCGCCTATCGTTCGGGTGCTTGCAGCTGCTGGCGTGCATGTTTATGTCCGTAGTGAGAAGCCGAAAATCATCGTCTCATCTGATTCTACTGGTAGGGCCTCCATAGTCTTTGAGGTGGACGAGGAACAATGGATGGAGGAGCGACGCCAAAGTCTTGCCAGAATCCGCGAGCGGAAACAGGCTCGGAGATTAGGCGTTAGCGTACCTCCCTAGCGATAACTCCAGTTCTGAACAAGAGGCTCCACGTCGTATCCGACATACTGCGGGTCGTATGGCTCGAACCGACAGCATCGCGGAAGAAGAGGAAGAATATGTTATTCCAGTGTTGAGGCCAATTGGAGTTCCCCTCAACAGCCCTCTGCGAGGCGCTGATGTCGGGGAGTCCTCTGCTGAAGACGACACCGATCATTCATCTGTAGATACACGGTCAATGACAGGCTCGGACAGTGGGTCTGAAACAGGTGATGCTGGGCTCAGCAACAAACCTGGCACTGTCGAGTTTATTCATGGCCTTTCTCCATCCATACCGCTCCTTATCTAATTCAAACCCACTACCTTCTAACTTTATCTGGAACATAACACGTACATCCACTTACTAGTAGGCTCAGGAGTTGTGAGTAGCACGACTGAGATGGTGATCTGTCGATTCCAAAGGAACGGTTGAAACCTCGTTCAACACTTGTGAACCACCGAATCAGGATATCTTGTGCAATGTTGCCGACTGTTTCCAAGCGTTAGTGGTGTACTGGTAACATTGGGTCTTCCCATGGCCTAGCACCGGGTTCGATTCCCGGCTGACGCATAATAGATGGGCCGTTTAGGCCCATCTTTTTTGTTCCCCTTCCGTTTCCTTCTGAATGGGCCCCTAGATTCTATTTTCAAGCATCTTCTCGCTGGCTTAGTACATACTAGTGCTTGACGTTCATCTTCGGGCCTTCCTGCTGTTTCTGTTCATTACCACTACCGTCTGGACGCAGAGTATAAAATTAAATATGATGCTGACTCGAAGTAGCGAACATCGCATCAAATTATCGTAATGACCTCAGTAGGTGTATCCAGCCATGACCTTATGTCACAGTAAGGAGCTTCATCATCATCGTAGAACCTCCCATCAACATGGAATAGGCCCACACGGCGGAACTCTCCTGTGACGCTCTCTGCAGGAACGACAATCAAGCCCGTCAAGTGACCTGCGTTCTCATCTTTGTCAGAGCTGACCACGACAGCTTTGCCCTTGTCAGCTCCGACCTCTGCACTAGTCATAGTCAAAATACACGTAACCGATGTGTCGTTCTCGGCCTTTCGGTGGCACGGTAACTTCGCTGGATTGACTCGTTCTAGCAAGGCTAGGTTGATCCTTCGTGATCAGGCTCTCTTCCGGAGTCTATGTATTCTATGCCGATAACTTTGGATTCCCCGGGCCTTGTCGATGCTACTGTGGCCGTGTTCATTGGATGGTCATGCGATGTCATCGTTTCCGCCCGAATGTCGTGTTGTAGCCGCGAAGTCGCAGCAAGCCGTTTTGTGGATGCGTTATCGTCGACATGCGCGTTTTCCCGACGTACGAGGCATGACACCAGCTTTGAGAACAAGTTTGCCATGAAGGAACGACCTATATTTATGGGCTTCACTCCGTTGTTGCCTTGCTCGCTATCGCACGCTCGAATATCGACGTGTTCTACGGGAGATGCAGAAGTGGGGTTGACATTTGGATGGGTAGTGTTTTCGATTTGATCTTCTTCAACCGCTAGCCCCGCACCAATAGTGGCATCACCATCCTCAGCAGCTGGAGCTTGCAAGCTTCGTGCTCCATCGGGCTCTCCAGCTGTCTTCGCCATTGAAGTACATGGTTGCTTCAGCTCGAACAGCTCGGGCTCTGTGGGGTCCCAGGTCACGTCTCTTACGATGGCTCTAACAATTAACCTGCCGCCTTTCACCTGGCCAAGAGGGTGATTGTCGGAAACTGGGATGGCTTCACATGATTGTACGTTCCATATAATGTTTCCAACTTTTTTGTTCGATCCGGCAACGACCCATCCAATCGTGGCAGCCCAGGACCACGATGGTGCAAGATAGTGCCCTGTAACGAGACTTCCGTAGGACGGGCTATGTCTGTACCACAGGAGGTCTGCGGACAAATTCCGTTCCCACAACCCAGCAATGTATCGGTTGCTATTTCCCCACCGATGCTGGAAAAGCTGAGCGATTCCTGAGATTGCCACGAGTCTGTCAGAGGGATGTGAGACAGCTCGTTGCGTGTAGTCGGATAGGACACCCTCCCAGGCTGCCAATAGCGCTGGCACATCATCACTCGAAAGCGTGCCATATGGTATGCGCGACATCATCACATCTGGCAAACGCAATTCGCCCAGTTCTTTCGAGGGAAGATAATTCCAGATGTCTCCGATGTCATTCATTGCTGCTTGACATTGATACTGGAGAGTGTGCGAAGCGTATACCAAGGTCCTGGGGGAAAGGAGGCGCTCTTGGAAACACCAAGCTCGGCGATTCACTGGTTCTTTTGATGGGTCTGCACTCTCAGTGTCGTCAACTGAGATAGTACCGAGCTTCCCGTCAGGGCACCAGAATGGTAGTAGTGTTTCAATTGGTCTTTTGCGGTTGTGGAGAAATCCTTCGCTGACTTTTTGCGAACTGGCGGCGATAATCGTCACGTATGCACCTTGGTAGATGTCACACATCTGTGGAATCTCGCACTGTTTGTCTTCGTCCGAATCTTGCAAAATACACAAGGTATCCGCCCAAAGATAACGGAGATTGAGATTGTGGGTACAAACGATGGCATCTATGATGGTTTTCGGAAGGAGGAGAACATCGATCGATTCCAGGTATGTAGAGAGGTTGGTGGTGCAGAGGCTGTGTGGCTGCGGTTCACCCCAAACGTAACTCAGTGCTGTGTAAAAGCCTTGCATGCCTTTGGTAAGAACAAGTCTTGGCTGCTCTGGATTCGAGCAATCTATGACACGGGTCGGAAGGCTTGTTTTCTGAGGTTTTGGACAATGATGACGAAGCGTGCATTGTGCGAGGCAGTCCAATGCAAGCTTGAAGGCTCGAGGAGATGCGAACCTGCCAAACTAGCTTTCTGCCAGGGACAAGGGCAGCCGCATTGTCGTCTATATCATACAATTTGTCATATTGCACGAAAGGACAAGAATCGATGTACCTGGGTCGCATTCCACCTGATACGTGGGGGGCCAGTCGTCCTCAACCACGACTTTCAGGACAATGTTGTCTTCTGAATTTTGTTTTTCGAACCGTACAGTTATTTTGAAAGTCTCCTCTGGCATGGGCAATTCCTTTTTCTTGCGGTTTTGATACCAAACAGGAATCTCTCCCCAGAGAATATCGCACCAGTTACATCCCTTGTTTTCCCCGTCATCGATCTCCTGCCAAGTTTGAGTAGTGTATGAGAAGCCTGCTTTAGGGTCTGACGAGTCCTTTGCAGCCCATGCAGTCTGAAACGACTCGAACGCAAAAAATTTGCTCGAACAATGATCACAGACGAGGGAACCGTTGCGTAATCCCATGGTAACTATGAGCGCAGAAGTTCAGTCGGCATGAATTGATGGAGGATTTAAACGGGCTCCGATACGTACATTCTTCCACTCCCTCAAGAACTGGTTAGCGACTGCCAGCCCAAGCTAACGAGAGAGTAAACAGACGATGAACACGTGGTATGTGCCCTGGGTATTGATCATAATACTTCTATTATATTAAGACTGGCATATTTTGATGACAGCCATTGGGCAAGGGGTGTGATGGCCTAAATAATGCCAGCGTCCACGGGCTAAGTAAACGAAGTTCGAACGCTTCGAGTCTTTGAAACGCTGATTTTAGGCTACTTGAGAACACCAAATAACTTACATAAATAAGTACAACAACGAAACTTGAACAAAAAAAAACCTCCCGCCACCTGCAGAGTACCCGACAACTGTTGATCACATCGAGCATTTCCCGTGCTACACACTGCTGCTAGTTGACACATGCACACGCTCCTGGAAAGCAATAGAAGTCATAGCGGTTGCTGCATCAGAATCGTCCACGAGCTTAGCGTTGTATTCCCGAACGCCAAGGATCAGGCGCGGTCCCAGCACAAACAACCGCACGAGCAAGAAAATTTGAGAGATACCGGCAAAAATCTGATTTTGCAAGGAATATGGGTTCTAAAGGAATGATGAACTATGGTCGCATGCAGAGGATAGTGACAGATCGACATACCGCTGAGATGATTGAGAACAAATAACCGAGCTGGAAGCAAGAACCAGCAACAAAGCTGAGTTAGCACGTGCGAAGCTTCAGTGAAACGGAACAACCACATTCACATTACAAGCTCACCTCGTAAAGTAGACCACGTGAGTTTTCACCAACACCGTAAAACAGTCCCCGATAATCCCTCCTGTAGATGATCGTCGCAGTTCACGAAAATGTTTTACAGCAATCCAGACTGCGAGACACAGTGCGAGGACCTCCCATATAGTGGAGAGTATCCAAGTCATGGGACTCAGAAGTTGGTCATTTTCCGCATAGTCAATAGCACACTCATAGGTGCCAAAGAGAATGTACACCTCTGGCATTCGTCAATGAGCCTCATGGTCTTCAGTATTTTTGAGCTTACCTCCTGAGGTATGCCTAGTTACTATTTCGTTGATCACTCCATTGGCGATGGTGACAGCTAGTAAGACGACAATGAGAAGTATCACCACCGTTCTGGATTGCTGATACATGGCATATAACCGAGTCATCATGATGACTTGCACGATATTTCAGTTAAGCAAATATCACTGAGGGAATGCAGCTGTGTAGCTCACCGCCTATAATTGCAAAAATGACAACATTTGTCCAATCCATTGCGATGTGCACAATAAGGCCTGACGAATCCAGTCAATGATCAGGAGGATTAGACTCCGGATGTACTCACAGCTGTGGGAGTCATTACATTGAGTACACGAGCGGGTCAAGTCACCTCACCCCTACATGGGAGTGCAGTTAATTGGATGGGAATGGCAGGAACCGGGGCAAAATACTCACTGCATCTGTCATTGGGATGGTCGGAACTGCAGCTGTATGCCGCAGGTCAGAAGACATAAACACAGCACATGTGAGGAAACATACTCAGCATGCTGGCGCTTGTTGTGAGAGATGGCTGATTAGCACAACGCCAATTGCCTAGCCTTGCAAACATACATAGCAAATAATATTCCAACATAGCGCACCAAGAAAATTCAAATCAGCACAACTGGTCAATCACGTGTCACGCAAGCTACACACACTGAGATATAGAACGGTCATTGGGGACCAGCGTTGCCTCTGTCGCAAATTGTTATCTAGTTCTTCTGATGTGGGACTCTGCTCACCCAGACCAGTTCGACCTATACAACGATTCTTAGCGAAATGACTGCTTCGGGGGCATCAACGTACCTCTTGTCCGAATGTTAGCACTGATGATACCATAAGGACATCGGTGATTTTGCAGGACCATTTTGCTCACTGTAATCATACATCACCCCAGCGGAGGCGGCAACTGCGAAACCGCAGCCAAGATTAGATCAAGATATCACCCTCATCATCCAACTGTCTCTCCACAAACCTACAAAATAGCTGACAACGAGACCCGAATTCATGGCAGGCCACCAACTGGGATCATTTGAGACCACTGTCATACTGTTATAGGATGGGTGTGTGGGAGTAGTGAACCTTTGTAGACGTATGATGATGGTATTCGTGCTAGATGTACCACCATCCAGAGCTTTTATGAACAAAATGAGCATCGTATAGGGTGATATCCGTCTCCAAAAAATGTTACATTCTACCAGAAAAGTCTGATGAACGAGATCAATGATGAACGAGATCAATGATGAATGAACCCACCTGTGCGTGATCCAGGCTGCTAACCCACGCTTGCGTCGCCGCCGTTCCCCTATTATCAGAATGTGCTATGTCGGTAATTCGCGCACCCTCTCGAAAGATTCTTGCTGCATTTGCATCAGTTGAATTGTAGTTCATTAATTTGACACAGGCCTAATGGTAGGATCGGTTGATGATATGTCCTGGTACATCCGCCGAGAAGTCATCTCCGCCGCATCTACAATATTGCTGCTGAGCTTCATCAACTGACTTCCCTACGCACAGCTTCTGCATTCTTGGATTCGCTCCTCATGGAACGCGGACCATGCAGAAAAGGTTCTCTATGAGATGCGTGCGCGAGCTGATAACGAGATATCATCTATGTATTTGATATGGATTCCATTAATAGATGAACTGTTACCAGCCTGCAATTGGTTGAGTGCTTCGCTATATGCCAAGCGATCCAGCATGATGATCGGGGTAGGATCTGGTAGGAGTATGGTTGCCAGCGCGTGCAGCGAAGAGATTGCCCTCCGCAAACCAAAGTCCTTTGTCTAGAGAAATGGCATCAGCATGGCTAAGTCGCGCAATCAAATTAACACAGGTCTTACATCCAAAAGGCCTTCAAACTCTCGCAGGCTCATAATCGCCATCTCAGCCTCCAACGACATGGGCGGTATCAGACGGTATCCGAAACCTTAAACCCAAAAAGGCTCTCGGCAACTTGTTTAGTCCTCGAGTCGATCAGATGGACAGATCTTCGAAAAAATATAGCTAGTCACGAAGATCACGAGGTCTACTTTAACTTGCAAACCATCATCGAAGACCATCTCAGACGGCGAAGGGTGGGAAATCTCATGCCCAGCCTTCATGGTGATCTTGCTGCTGGTTAGTAACCTGCAGAAGCGCATAAGAGAAAACTCAGCTATCTTGCCAGATGTGATGAGCTCGCGCAACCCCGGTCAATTTAAATGTAGTAACCACCTGCAAGAGAAAAACAGAACAATGGGCAAGAAACAAACTGACCCCGTCAAACTACAAGACAGTGTAAGAAGCTGTCCTGGGGATCAGCAAGGAGGTAACCGTGCCTGGACAAATCTTCCCTGAGGTCTCCGAGTGAAAGAAACCGGGTAAGACGAAGTGATTATCCTCGAAGCTTGTCGTGCAACGAACTGGTCAACGTCAATATGGGAATTTCTCTTCATGGCATCGTTCTGGGAAGTTCGTAAAGTTGAAAAAGGGAGGGCGACGTAGAAACGGTCAGCTATCTCTGTCGGAAGAGCGTCCTGCCTAACATATCCTATGAGTCGAATCAGCGGAGATCTCAACAGAAATGACACTAAGGTTACCAGTAAGTCAATGCCTGATCGTCTGACGACTACGACAGAGGTCGGTGAACGCTGGATACGCCCTTTGCGATTCGCCAAGTCCTGAGCAATATCATGCGCAGAGCATCCTCCATCGACGACCGCCACTGTCCGCGTGTTGTCGCAACATGTAGATCTTTACTCGCTTGAATGGAGAATCGAACCGAGAAAGGAGTTCTACAGGCAGATGGTGTTAGCATCGGCATATAATCAAGGGATCCCGCCGTACTTTACCCGGGATCTGTGGCATAGGCGGAAGTGCACCTCCCCAACGTGCCGACACCTGTTGCGGCAATCAGGTGTTGGGCTGTCACAATAATAGAGGGTTAGACGAAATATAGATATCGACCAGGTACTTGATAAAAAAAATTATGAAGCAGAAGAAACGCGCGCCAAGGTCAACACATGAAGACCGAGAATCCTCTGGTAATTTTCAAGATAGGTTGTGCTCGTACGACCCGACTAGAACGAAAGCAGCGGCGGCTCGGCTGTATACCCTGGGTGTATTCGTCTCTGGTGACTCGTGTCGAGAACGCCAACCATCACCTATGATACAGACGTTCTCCAGACGGGCAGCTACAGACAAGCCTAACTGACCTGCACCTACGATTACTGCTGTGTACTCCATTACACTGCTCCACTCAGCTGGACGGCAGAGAGGCGTATTTCCAGCACAAAAACGATCCATCACTCCGAGTGAATGATCCATGATGGTCACGCGGGACGAAGACTTCCATGAGTAGTCTTCGTTTTGAACCAGAGTGAAGACGCCAGTACTCACTGTGCTATGGCCTTGGACAATTCCCTGAATGAACGGTTTCACATGACCAGTGCACCAGTGACGAACAGCCGGTAAGACTTGAAACTGGTTTGGCCGTGCAGCGGCAACGGGAATCGAGAAAAATTGTGGGATTTTTGGGAGCGTGTGCAAGGTGCGAAAATCGCCAGTAGCTATCGTCCGCAAACGACTTCTTGAGAGAGAAACTGGGGCTGGATATGTCGGAAACCAATGTATCCAGTCAGGCAGAGGAAGTAACCTCTGAAATATGACGGTAAGTTGCTTGGACTGGGTTTGAAGGCTGGCTTGCCTGGAGATATCGAAGTGCAAAGGTTGTTTGACTGTCTTATTGGTCTGACTAGGGGAGAATGGGTTGAGCACAACTAAAGATGCTTACGGGCGAATCACTAGGGTGAACTTCAAGTTGTGTGTAACAACGAAACACCATAGCTGTGTCTGGTGATAACACACAACTTGGAGTTCACCGCACGCGACGAGCGACGTGTCAGGATGCACCGAGATTGTTCGTTCTCTTCTTGCTTTATTCAAGTCTTCTTCAGGCTTATGGATGTTTTTTTGCGAGGCGCTTGACTCTGTAGAATGTCCGAAAGACGTAAATCGTCCAAAAAGGATGACAAGAGTGGGATTTGAATGTATCAATGAGCAAGGTGCCGGTTCGGAGCCCGCCGGAGAATCAGCACCACGCGTCCAACTGAGCGAGACGCCTTAGACTTCACCTTTTCATGTTCAAAATCGAACTATTTACACGACGGACTCAGAACGCGAATTCCTAACCTTCACTTACTTATCCTCATCGTTATCGTAGTATTTCGTCACATACGTTCCTTCTTTCTCCTTTCATTTTCCTCACTGCCGTGCAAATTACTTGCCTTACTCAGTATGACCCACACCAGCATTTGAACCTGCAACTCCCAGGCTCGTCAACAGACTCTCAAACTCAGCCAGAATCTGCGGAGAACCCGTTAGACCAGCTCAAATTGTAGCTTGTGCCAAACCTAGGGCAACGAGGCAATCTGCCAGAATTGCCAGCAGCGGCTCTGCTGAAGCAGCAAACACGGCGACATCTAGTGCGATCCAGATCACGCCCCTACCAGGCACGGCTGTGGCCAAACTTGCTGCCAAGAAAGCAGCCAAGCAGCCGGCATATAAGCAGCGCCCACCAATCGACGCGGGAGCCACGCCGCCGTGTAGCTCGCTGCCTTGATCGCGCGAATCTATCCATTACTGTTGTCATCCCAAAACACTCCTTACCATGACTGTTCTCCAAATGGAACACTTCAGACTTCAATGTGCAACAGACACGAACATGTCTTACATAGCGTCGTAAGTGTTCATGATAATGTAATGCTACTTAGATTCAGGGCGGTAAATGTAATCAGCTGCTCACCTACAGCAACGGCTCCATAGACTGTTGTATCGACTTGTGCCTTCTTGATAGAACGTAGTTTGGTGTTCGTCCGGTCATAATAAACTGTTTGTGTGTCCTTCCAGTATTTTATCATCGTATGTGTGCTGTTTCTCTGTAATCTCGCTACATTTCTATGATCCTGAGAGGTCCATGAAGGACAAGGAAAGGTATATGCCGCCTGTTTTTTCATCCTGGAGGCTTCCTAACATGAGCGCCGCATCCGCTTACACAGTGGCAACTTAAACTTCTTCGACGCCGGCGTCGAATGCAACATCTTACTACAGCTGACTCCGTCGAGAAGTAACGAATTTCAGTCAATTTTCAGTCAAGGACGCAGTCTAGGTATAGATACACCATAAATTCGTTCTGTGGAGCCTACTCGCATTCGTCTCTTAATAACCAACACCCTCATCGATCTTGAATAACCATTAGCTGATATAAATATTTAAATCGTGCGTATGGGTGGGGTCACCACACGGTTATTTTAGTTAATGACCGCATCGGTATACGAAGTGGTCGCGAAGCCGACTCGGTGGTCGGTGGTGTCGAATACGGAGTAGAAGCGTTGACTAGAGCAGATGGTTAGCCTTATGCTAAATGAGGTCACTTAAAACACCCACAGGAATGACTAACCGTTGACGAAGTCGAAGCCACTGCCAGAGTTGCTACCGATATCAGCAACGATAAGATAGATACTGCTGCTGCTACCGCCGATCTCAGTGTTGAAGGAACGGGGCCAGATTTGGGCGTCGGGGGTGAGGTCGTAGGAACTCCCGCTAATGTTGAAGGTCAGGGTTTGCAGCTTAGCATACTGATCAGATGTGATCATCAAGAAACCGGTGTTCTGATCCATCGTAGCACCAGTGGCAGACTTGTACTGGTTGAATGCGTCTAATATTTTCAAGTCAGTTGGGATGACCCGTTTATGAATGACTTGTCTTACCAGTGGCGATAAAAATGAGGGTCGTGCCAGTGTCAACAATACCAGCAGTCTCGGACAAAATGGTGGAGTTACCGTAGGCAATAGATTGGTCGATGCCCCAGTAACTGCTAGCAGGTGACGTCGTTGTGAGAGGGACATAATTCACTGAGCTCGTCGTCTTTGAGCTGTCATAGCCACCAAAGGTGAGCTCGCCAGTGCCGTTAGCAGAGATGGGAGGGAAGAAGATCCCAAGTGCCTCAGTGCCAATGATACCCTTGCTGAAGAGGTTGTCGGTGACAGTGGGAACTAAACCAACATTCGAAACGGTGCCTTGCGTGAGGTCAGTCGGTCCGATACCGAGAATTCCATCAACGTTATTGAAGCCATATGACCTCTTCGCGACCCCAATAGATTGTCCGGTAATGACTAAGTCAGAGCTTAACGTCACTGTGTCCAAGTATTCCTCTCCGGAGAACTCGCCGGAACCATAAGAGACGAACTATAAAATTTGTCATGGGCGACTTGTTTATAAGCAGAGGATGCGAAAAGACATACGACTGTGTCCCCGGTATCCACACTAGTATTAGTGGGTTTGTATGGGTTGGCCGCACCTATCCAAGTGTTGGAGCTGCCCGTATCAACAAGAAGCGAGTCTGAGAATTCTTCTAGTCAGAAATTATCTGGGTCACCCGACAGCGAGTCTTACATTCAGTAGCGGGGCTGCCGACACCAACTTGGGCAACGTAATCCACGACATTATTAATTATGCTGACAGAGGAACTGCCAGCACGTTTGCTCTTGGAACCAGCGTGCACCATCGCCTGGATACGAGCCCTGTCGGCATCAGCGATACTGAGAGTAGCATTCCTTGCGTTCAACCTAGCGGCAAATCTAAGGTTTGCCATGCTAGCATCACGGCGCAAGGGGGATGCGTTCACAGCGGACAGGGCAATGAGGAGAATAGACAGGAGAGACTTAAAATGGGACATTTCGGTAAGCTGGAGTTTGGAGGACTGAGTGAAGAATGTGATCGACTGGAAGTGAGGCTTCAATCCCCAACGCAAAGACTTTATATATTTGTTGGGGGCATTCAACTTGATCATGCGATACCCGCAGTCTTGAATATTGTAGGACGCAGAAGGAAATTTGCTGTATGTCCCATCCTAGGGGGTTCGAGATGCCAAGAACTTTCCCTCGAAAATTCATCTCCGAAATATACATCGCTGCACCTCTTTGTCGCCGGGAGATGGTATCAAAATCAAAGAGCCCAGAGCCTAATGTCAACAATCGAACAACAGCCGCCCAGAGTATTTACCGGACTGTGAGCATCATGATATTTCAGTTCGCCATCATGATGAAGTAAGTTGCATACCATGTTGTGGCAAGAATCGGTGCAAAGAACATCATTCGAAGCTGATAACTGTTTCGCCCTATCAAATGGATATTGCAGACAATTCATGGCAATGTACGAACTTGAATACGTTGGGCATTGCGTTCCCCGGTGACTACCAGAACGAATATTGCAAACTCATGGTGGTCCGAAGTGTTGCGCCTCCGAGAGGCTCATGTCTGGCAGTAGCACCCCGAAAGCTTGATGGTGTTCATACAGTCACGTCGCTTATGTGATTGGCTGCTCACGCACTGCTCAGAAGCACTGAGTGCTGATTCCGAATTGATGAACAAGGCTGGACAACGCACAGTCTGCCATTACGGCTATTTGTTGTTGAGTTATCGTAGGAAACTCTGATCATTGTCAGGCTTGGCGTGATGTTGAAGCGTTGTGTGTCGTGAACTGATCATAAGGGTGAAACAACTGCATTAGTGTTGGGGAAAAAGCAATGCACGAATGACGCACCTGTGACTCCCACATAAGCACCGTAGTTATAGGCGATAATGCACGTGTTTCGCACCTGTAAGGTCAGGCGGATATAGGAACTCAGGGCCTCCTCCAATATCTCCTGGATAGCTAGGGACTTTATAGAGCTGTAGGTACGCAGAGTGTTGTCATTATTACCGTACTATTATTAGATTCACGTGATGCGGTTACCGTGCCCAACGTGGCATAGCGATAGGAACCTTTGAGCTCGTCGTGTCACACGACGAGCTCGAGTATCTCACTTCAATGCGGTCGGATTCTCGGCGCGTTTTGACAAACAATGCGCTAGTAATAATTGCGAAACGTAAGGAATACATGCAAGTCCATAGGATGTGTAGATAACTAGTAATACTATTCTTCAGCATCATGAATTCTGAGGCGTGAAAAGTCATCCGCAACAAGGAGGACATCCTGTAAACTCCTGGATGCTTGTTCCACTACCTCGTCCTCTTCCTCCTCGTCATCAAGGTCATCATGGGTGTCTATGTCTAAAGCAGATGCAGTGGGATCAACAGGCAGGGGATCAACAAGCATCCGGGTGGGGATCTGTGCATTAGCTAGACTCGCGCTCTCCCCAGGACTTGTGTCAGCGCTGACACCAGGGGTTAGTGTCCCACTGAAGCCCGGAAGTTTCGATATGTTGTAAAGCCGTTTGAGGTGTCGTGAGTTGAAGCGACCTCGGGTGTTTCGGTGGATGGCGATTTGATGTGTGAGGGCTGTGCTGGTATCCTTTAACTGATCCTCGCATTCCCTTAGATACCTCTCTTCGTCGCGTATATAGGTCACGAGGCGTCGTACCTCAATATCGAGACGCTCGATCTCTTCACGCGCCCGACACATTTTGAAGTATAAGTCCATTGCGCGACGAGCAGCGGCTGATGACCAAGGGTGCTGAGAGACGTCCATACGCGTGTCACGTAGCAGGTCGAAATCTGCGAGGAACACATACTCCACGACGTCTTCCCACTTCAGAGTCTGGCGTGGAGGGTACATTGAGCTGGCGATGGAGTTGTAGGTGTTGAGGGCGGACCTAATGGCGACGGAATGGGCCTGTAATGCCTTGGCGATGTGCTTTCATAGCTTGTAGCCTTAAGCAGAGTTAGAATTAGCACTCGCAAGCAAAATATTAGCGTCGAAAACTCACCTGTACCTGCCCGATTCATCTTTGTCAGTTCAAATATGCGTGCAACAATCAACCCCTCAAGACAATCCAGCGCCCGCTGGTATTTCCTGTTAGCCACAAGTCTCCCCGCCATCTGCCACTCCACATCTTCAGGAACCCATCGCTTCACAATCTCAAGCTTGCATTCAAGTACTTGGACGAGCTGTAAGTTTCTCTCATAGTCCTCGAGAGCGTGGCGTCACACGCTCTCGGCTTTCCGGGTATTTTGCACCTGTGCGTCGTATGAAGCAACCTCGTAGTTCATCTGGAAGGCTGTCATCGCCACGTCAAGAGCCTCCCTAATGCAAATGATGTGTCAGTGAGCACGAGACCCATAGTAAGGAAGTAGACGTACTTGCACATGGTGAGATTCACCAGCTTTTGCCAATACTCCATGTGCAATGTTTCGTCTCCAGGTTCTTGCGTTAAACCTTCTAGGTAGACCTTCTCTTCCTCTAGCCAGCGCTCGAAAATGCTCTTGTCGGTGAGTTTGAGATCTTCCATTAGTATCGGTAGAGTCACATCGCCATCGTTCAACACGTCGAGTGCTTGCTTGTAGTTATGATACAAAAAATTAGCTACCATGAAGATTACGTCAGCACGCGATCATGCGTTGCACATGGAGACTCACAAATATTGGCATATACTTCGAAGTCGTTGTTATGCTCGAAATACGAGTCGATGGCCTGTTGACGATGGAAGATACTCGCGTAACATAGAGCAGACGCCAGTGAATTAGATTTTGAGAATGTGCATTCGCACGTTTCGAGATCCTCGAGTCCCAGACCCTTAATGTAGGTAGTAAGGGAAAAGAGCTGGCACAAGCGCCGGTGTGCATGTCCGTGGAAGGCCCCAACAAGGCACGTGTGTTGCAGCGATCGTGCGAGAGGACCAAGGGAGCTATTGTCGAGTGGCTCGTACCTACATGCGGGACATGCATGTTGAAGACGCCAATCAGGCGAGTCATGCCGAAGGGATTCGGCTACCATAGCAGCCATGTTGCATCGAACCTGAAGGTATGCATCAAATGCGATCGAAAATTGGCGGGATAGATGCCTGCGGAATTCAACCTTCATGAATTAAGTACTATATAGAATCATAGAATAAATAAAAAATATATACCTCGTGCAAATCGCACACTGATTTGACAAACATCTGGATAGAAAGGTGAGGACTCCGAAGGTGCATGACACGGTATAATTCAAGAGCTTCTGTTGTAATGCCCACCATTGGCGATATAGGTGAGCAAGGAAAGACGCCTTGACGAACAAGGGCTGACACGATGGTGCGGTCAGTAGACAGTAACTTCAGAGTCACTTTCTCAGCGCCTGTACCATGCCGTCACATCAGTAAGCAATTGAAATTGAACTGATTACTCACAGAATACATCAATCATGTTGACTGACCATTGTCCACAGGTAGAATCGCGCTCTAGGTGTGAGTCTGCACTTAGCCGGTCAAAAAAACCTCTGAAGCCTGCCTCAGATTTTTCCAGGCTCCAGGCAAGGTGTGCATCTGTCATGGCAGGCATTTGCTCAGCAAAAGCCAGGGTCCTGCGAAGAATGCGATCACGGCGGGTACGATTATCAACGCGATGTTGGTGACGATCCTGATCCTTTCTGTTTGAGCAGGTGCATGTCAATGATCGACCCTCAAGTAAGTGTTAGTACTACTCACGTATTTCTGAAGTCTCCTAAAAGACCTCTTGTGAGATCAGCAAATTCGCCGCCAGCATGGCTGATAGGCAATGGTTCTGTGCCGTCCAAGACATCCCCAAAACCCATCTCCTCATTTTCATCCTGCCACGCGTCCTCAGTGTATTGGACATCCCTCAATGCTTCCAGAGCTCGACGTTCATCGGCACTCATTGCTGTAGACAAGGTTAGTTTTTGTTTTCTCTTAAATGGACTCTGAGCCTTGCCTTGCAGACGTATTCGCCGCCGCTCGTTTGTACTTGCGGCCTGCTGAACCAGCTCCCGGTGCTTGAGCACCTTCGAGACAGAGCTCATGGGCAGGCCATTTTTGTCCCTCGAGGACCCGATGTGCCGAATGCATTGCAAGGAAATATTTGTCCGAACTTTGCGTTGGCGTCGTCCATTAGTAGTTGCCATTATCTCCCCTCATTTTTTGTTGGTAAGGTTGAGTCTTGTCAATTCACGTGACTGATTATCATAGTTCGCCCTGCATATCATTGCATTCACCATGTCGCACCGTCCGCGCACGTCGTCTACTTGTCCTCCCTCCGAGGATGGTCACATTCAAGACTTGCACACCTTACTCAATGCTATGACCCTATCAGGTATACATTTTCCTTTTTTCTAACATCAAAATACTAATGCTCACTGGTAGACTCGACATTTGACACCCTCACTTGGAGCGCAAGACTAGTACCGAATCCATCACCTTATCAAGATCCTCACGCATCCAATCCACGCACACCAGTGCTCCCAGCAGAACAAGTCTCGTATCTACACCCTCTCCTGCCGCCTCAACAACCTATCAAACCCACCTGCGATCTCCGTCCCCTAGACCATCTAATGGTACATCAGCGGCTCCATACTCCCCGTCCCAAACCCTGTGTTCTCCAACAGCTGTGTGATTTACCTCCACAGTCCCGGCACTTGTACCAAAGCCAGAGGAGATTCACCCACCGCAAGCTGGTCTCAAACCTGAGGGTTTCTGGGTGATAACAGTTGGACAAGAGGTGGGCGTCTTTATCACTGGTCAGTGTCGTGTTGTCTAGTTAGCATACATTATCTGATTGGACGTTTATCTTGGGGCTGATGTCGCAGAACGAACTAATTTCATCAGCGGGAACATTCAAAAATGATACCCGTCTTTCCAGGAAGCCCTCAAAGTCTACACCGCCAGATTTAACAAGGGTGGGGTTCGCGCAGTCCCCATTCCAGGGGGCCCATTCTGGCCATCCCCTCCTTCACCCTCACTGTCTGTAGATTCAGATGAAATGTGGTCACAGGTTGATGATTTGTCAGAGACCATGAGCCAGTATCAGTTTTGAATGTTCTTAGTTTAAATACATTGTAAACAATAAAATGCATTTAGCCTTACTCCTACTGTTGGTCCTGTGAGGTGGTGAATACATTGTGTGATGAGTGTGACAAATGTTAATGTAAACGGTAAGCCAGTATGATTGCATGAACTAAGGCAAGGGTTGTGTGATACGTCAGTATGTGATGTTTGCAAATGCAAGCATTCCAAACAGCCGTCCAACATCGTAAATGCTCTACGTCACTTACAACATTCTCATTCGGCTTTGGTTCAAGCATGTTTGTCTAGTACCGACCATTAAAGTACTCTATGTATTCAATGTTTTCTAACAGGCTGTTTTGAACGATCCCAGACATCCGCACAATATGTTCGCTATATATTCGCTATGTGTTCACTATATGTTCACTATGTGTTCACTATACGTTCGCTATGTGTTCACTATACATTCACTATACATGTTCACTATCCACTGTGTAATCCACTACCTTCACACCTCATTAAATTGTTCAGTTTGAGTGACATTTGAGGGGCTCATAAGCGCTACATTGGTAAACTAACACTAGTCACATCCTGTATCTAGTTTTACCTCAAAAAACTTTACCTCTGACACGACACTGACAAGCAAATCATACAATAAGATAGTGTCATACTTGAGCCACTCCCTGCAATATGGGCAATGTGTGTGTGCGACATCACAGATGCCATCCAGTAAGATCCTCCCCTCCCAAATATGCTGTGCACATTCATCGAGGAATATCGTTATTGCACATCCCCCCTTTGCACGAGCATCTCCAAGGGCATCTTCATATGTGTCACTCCACGTACTTTCTGACCCCCACTCCTTCCGCCATTGCCCGACAAGAGTCTCAAGTGCTTGTAAGGTGAGGGTGTCGCAGGGACATGGCAGGTCATTGTCCATGGTGAGCACAGAATCATCAGCGCTGTAACACGCAGAATCATCAGTGTCACGCACAGAATCATTGGCACCGTAACACACAGAATCATCGGTGTCATGCACAGAACCATCGGCGTCATAACTGGTGTCACCAGAGCGTTCTTCGGTGTCGTGAGTGAATTCACCAGACAGTTCTTCATGCGCTGACTGGGAATCAATGTCGAAATCATGGCCGTTGTTATCCCAGTCAAGGGGGGGGTGAACCAAGGGCAGGAAAAGGTACATGTTTGGTGTCGTAGTCGCAACGAACATCGCAGGACAGTTCCTCAGAGTCGGACTGGGAATCAGGAATGGGTGAGGTTGGAATGGATGATTTTTGCACAGCGGGAGGTTGAGTTTGCATTTTCCTATCATATATGTTAGCGAGTTACAAGTGAATACACATATAGGACGCACTTTGCCCTATTGCTGAAGGAATTCTTGTAAGTACAGCCGCAAGTTTGAGAATAAATGTGGACATACCGAGCCATGCGAAGACATGCCTTCATATTTTGGCTGTCTTGAATTCTATGAGGGGAGGTAAGTAACATTCTCCACAGCTCAAACACCTTCAACTTACCCTGGTTTGGCAAGCCAGCGCTCTGTAGCCAAGCGCTGCCTCAAAGCAGGACTACTGGGCTCGTCCCGACGACCCTTGGATTCAAATGTTAGGTAAATCAGCACGGGTACAAAACATTTGACCTTACCATGCTAGAAAATTGAAGGAGTGAGAGACGATCTCTGGTGTGATACCGATAATCAATGACAAGTGTCTTGACTGCATCACTGATCTGCGAATAAATTGTCAGATACGAGGGTGGTTGCCATTGTCTTGAGATGATCAAAAAACTATATGCCCAATTGACAGAATCTGTCATTGGATGGTATGGGTTGGTTAGCCGCTGTCCCTTGTAGAAGTGAACGCACATGATTACTATATTTGGAAATGTTGTGGGTCCAAAGATTGCGCCTTGAGGCTTGAAGTTCGAGGTTTCAACACACGCCAACGTCTCTGAAACTTCCGCAATGACAGAACTTGAGTATGTGGCTGACTTGGATGACTGGAGAGGCAGGACATTCATATTGTAAGTGACCTGTTTGTTCTTAATGCTTACCTGACTCATGGCAAATACTACCAGGCGCAACCCAAAGACACTATGGTGTTCCTTTGTGACCTGGCGCTTTGGGGCTCCGAGTCCAAACCCTGCTATGGTGGGTCAGTTTGGACCATACCCAGACAACAATTTTACTGCCTCTGTGAGGTAAGTGACTGGGCAATTGTTGGTGTTCATCACTGACATTCAATACTATAACATTCCTTTACAGTCAAACCCATAGCTCAGATAATAGGAGACAGGGACTTGAGGCATGCAATACAAGTAAGCCTTATGATACAGCACATTCTGCGCCTGATGTTAGCGGCCGGTTTCAGACCAATTTTTTTTCAAGAACAAACAGGGCGCTGCCAGTAATGACATTGTGACAACGCACGCGACACATCACGCATGGTTTATTGACATGATCTCGTCGAATTTTGCAGGCATATCTGCTATGACAACGCACGCGATGCGTAGCACGTTGTTTATTTGCATGATCTTATCGATCCCTGGAGGCACAACTGTGCACGGCGGACGATCCCTCACCACACTGTCTATGATGAACGCTTTGTTTTCAGCCGCCGACTTCGATGCAAACAGTGATTTCGCAGTTCCCTTGCTCGACAACATGAACTGGGATGACCCAGCGCTCTACACCATGCCACTAACGAATGACGAAATTGCTGCCATCACTGGGGACATAGCAGCCACCAATTTGCCAGTTATTCCAGAGCTCCCCACTCATCCCTCGCTGCCTGACCCGCCTCCTTGCACACCATCACCCCACCCATTTGAATGCTCGAGCCACGATCATGACCCACCGAGTCCCACTTGTGCAGGGCCGCTTCGAGAAGCGAATTCATCAAGCTGGGCGGCACGCAATCCCACACGGCCTGTCCTTCATCCTCGTACACCACCGCCTCAGCTCACGGATGCCCAAAAGGCGTCACAGAAAATAAAGAGGGACCAGAAGCACGAAGCAGCAAAACGCTTGCATGATGGTGTAACCAAGTACCTCAATGAGCAGAGGATGAAGATCGAGGCACTTGCCCGCACTCATAACATCACCTCAAAACACATCAACGACATCATCGGGAGCCAGACCAACTATCACAAGTCGCGGAAACCCCAATTAATCAACGCGCTCGTTCATGCAAAGGCTAAGGAGATGAACACAGGTAAGTCTCAATAGTCTCAATAGTCTTGATCATTTCCTGATGATATCTGATGAATTAATTTTATTTTAGACCAACCGGTGGGGTCTCAATATACATTGGCTGAACTGCGTGAAATGGTCGCAAACGACCCCTGAACCAAAAAATTGTCAAGAGAAGAAGCCGCAGCCTATATTAAGGCCCTCAACGAGCATCGTGACCAGAAGGGACTTAGCGTTCGGGCAAATAATCTGGCAGCTGCACGCGATGTTGTAGCCACAACGGATCGGATCGTCAAAGAGGTGTGTTCGATTCTCACTCAACAGCAACCAACTAAACTCAATTTTTCTTTGAAGCTGGACGATCTGCGAGTTTGGACTGGCGTCTATGGCACACTATTTGTCGTCCGCAGTCACATCAACAATACCATTCAAAGCACAATGCATGGCACAGATAATTCTGAAGATTTCTGGGATGATGTGTACGAGCATCCCATGGCTGACTTTCTTAGGCAATACGAACAATGGGCATGCACCCAGAATCAAAGTAAGTCCGTCATATTCATATAGCTTGTGTACTTATGCGACATCCCGTAGATCTCAATGCACGCGACTCTTTGGAAGTCGTAAGGAAGCAAGTACGCAAGCTAATCCTCCGGGGCCTAGGTGCGTATCGACGTTGTTCTACACATGCTGCCCCCATTTAACATTACTCACAGTCGAGGTGACCAGCAAAAAAGATATTATGATGAATTACAATAACTACGAAACATCTGTCATCGAAACATACGGGGTGCGCCTTGTGGGCTGGCCCCATGGTGTCAAGTTCACTAGCCCTTCGAACATCGGGACCGTGGGCGACATTCGCAAGCTCCAGGATGCCCTCAAGGCACGTACATGCTACTGGGCAGTCCTATCACCGGCAGAGGTCAAAGCTCACGCGTCTGAACTTGATACACGACGTTCAGCCGGGGAAGTTGTTCGGAAGCCATGAAAAAAGTGTTCGGATGCTGGCGTACCTCGAAAGTGTAAAAACGGGTCCAGCGCAGGACAGGCAAACAAGGAGAATAATAGGCCATCGAAGAGAGCGAAGAAGAACTCTGCCCAGCTGCAGGAAGGTCCCAAAAGCGCCGAGTTTGTAGAGTCTTCTGACAAAGAGGAGGAGGGGCATGAGTAGTAGTATTACATTGCCTTAGTCTACTTTGTATTACTCATATATGTATTGCAATAATTACTGGCACATCGCTCGTCAAAATGTGCCGTGAATCTGACCACCTTGGAGTGAGATACTCGAGCTCGAAGGTTCCCATCACTATGCAACATTGGGCACGGTAACCGCATCACGTGAATCTAATAATAGTACGGTAATAATGACAACACTCTGCGTACCTACAGCTCTATAAAGTCCCTAGCTATCCAGGAGATATTGGAGGAGGCCCTGAGTTCCTATATCCGCCTGACCTTACAGGTGCGAAACACGTGCATTATCGCCTATAACTACGGTGCTTATGTGGGAGTCACAGGTGGAATGACGTTGACGTAGTAGATAGTTCAACCGAAAAAGGCAATCCGAGATGAGTCTGCTCCTAGGCCTCAACCTAGCGAATTCATTGACATCCTCATGACCTTACAGCTGTGTGCAAAACTAACGAGATTCATGAAATTTTTGGGGCGCGCGTGACCAAAAAGAAAATCGATAGAATAATACGTCCTCGGTACCTGGGGGACTTCCTGTAACTGGTAAACAGTTTTCAGACAGTATTAGCCCTTCACACTGCATTTTCCATGCGTCATACACATATAACTCTATGGTAAATCAAAAGAAAATGGGCCAACAATCAAAATCCCAGCCAGACAACCCAAAACTGACTGCAGTTGCAGCTGTTGAACAGCCTACATTATGACGAATCACAAATCGTAGAACTCTACTGCAAGCCACGTGCAAGCTTTAGGTCTGAATCTTCGGCATAGAGGCCTTCAATCGCTGTCATGAGTGCTCGTGTGATTATTCGTGTGCGGCCGACGAGTGGAGAAGGGGGCCTAGGCCGCCTAACAACAGTGCCGAGTTCTTCAAAGATCTTTCGCCAATGAAAGCAGCTGGCCCGAGAAACACCGAGCACCTCGCAGATATCCTCAAGCTCCAACCCTGATCCCAGAGGATAAGTGCACATTCTTTCATATCTTTTCTTATCCATCTGTTAACCATGTCGTATAGGCGATGGAACAAGGTAAAAGTTCGTCGTTTTTGATATCTACTGGCGTCAAACGTCGTCCGAATGGTTTACAAGGGGATTTCCTTTTTTGTCACGCACGCACCAAAATTTTCATGATGAATCTCATCAGTTTCGCACACAGCTGTAAGGTTATTCTCACTCAGCCAACTCCCATTTCTGATGCACCTTAGATTACTGCATTGCAATGACAATCAGCATCTTCATAATTGTCCATACTATAAAAGACCTGGTCGAACAGCGGCAAACACCCAATCATAGCCTCTCGAATATCAAAAACCAAGATCGATCGATCGTATATATGTAGGTGCTCATTTGGAATCTGGGAACGTTGCATAGGGCACTGTCGTTAACGAGAACGAATCCATCTACTTGTGGGCAGCCCTTGTACTCAACTAAAACCTCTTCGTTTGTCATGCAGCTTCTGAACCATCTTCTCGGATCGGAGCGCATATGGACAGTGCCGCAGACGACGCGGACATCATTCAAAATTGATGTAGATCCCGGAGGAGAACAATCTATGATCGCCGAAAGTGTGGATATCAGTCCTATCACATAGGAAAACAGAGATGCTGAAATTTATACTACCACCAGCGCCCCAACCAAATGAAAGCCAGGTTGCCTTTAGCTAAAGCGGAGTAGCTCAAGCCAAGAAGATTATATGACGATGACGACTCATCGATGTCCGGAGGCAGATACATCCTGATGCATCATCCGTAGCTGATATCTGGCGAATATTCGACGCCCATCCCTATATTGAGAACAAAAATGAGAGGGCACTGGAGAACAAAGAAGACTTGATGGCGGAGCAGGAAGCCGGACTTACTGTACACGCACATTTGAATGATTTCATCAAACATTGATCATCTAAACGTGATCATCGCTCATAACAGGAAGATAAGCCGCGCCTTATGAGCGTCTCCTGGCCTAAACAAGGTCACGCTCGCAACTCTGATGAAATCTGATGCAAAAACACCCACGTACAAATAAATGGATCATGCAGTTAATGTCATCAGTGTTTCGGATACTGCTAAATAGGATGGGTGGCGAGGACTTGTAGGAAGTTCGAGTTGTATGGCTGATAGTAAGCTTGCTCAGAGTTGAATCACGTCATGCATTTACATTTGCATTCGGAGTCAACCTGTTCATCTATTATTAGAATCCATACTATACAGCATATCGGGTCGCGCACCATCTTATCGAGAACCTTTTCTGCATGCTCCCTCATGCTCAGCATCCTCTGATCTGAGCGAATCGAAGGATACAAAAGCTGTGCGTGGGAAGTCAGTTGATGAAGTTCAACAGCAATATAGATGGCAGAGATGGCCTCTCAACGGGCATACTGAGATATTCCCCTGCTGTTTCATGGCTGTGGTATGGTGGGATTGGTTAGTGGTATAGGGTGATCGGCAGATAGCACAGGCGGCCGTTCGAGGTTGATGTTACGGGGTGATTGGTTGAGTTAGTTCTCGTGCTTCGCTATGCCAAGCGATGATACATCGACGATTATTGGGGTAGGATCTCCTTGGAGTATGATTACAAACAGTCTGCCGAGGCTGCCTGTTCATGCAAGCGACGGCGATGAGCAGAGTGAACCCGTGGGTTTTCGGAAGCAGGTGTTTGGTAGGTGTTTGGTACTAAGGTAGGGCCACTACAAAACCAACCAACCGTGACATGGTGTGACAGCTGACGAGATGCGGGACACAGTGGAGGCACAGGCGGCGCCACTGGCCATGCAAGGAGATCAGATGTATTAGATGTAAGGTATATGTACTTATGAATGTATGTAAGTAGCAAAGTGTCAAGTGTATGTACTACTTAGTAGCTATTAACTATGAGTCTATGTGATCTGGTTGTCACCAAGTTCTTGTAAAATACTGTCTGGAAGAGTGTGGTGACCTCAATATTTCCTGTTTGCCCATGCTGCTTGCTTTCCATTCAGACCTTTCCGATATGTGTCTAGGAACTGTAAGGACCGGTTCGAAAACCTGTAACTGTGTGAGTTTGACTCTTTGAACACCAGTAGCAATACTTACTGACACATGCACTCAATGGAACCGGATGAGGTGGAACGCAATCGCTGGCCAACGGTGGTGCAAAGTTCTTGGCAATCTTACTTTGATAAATGCCACAATCCCATCTAATGTCCATAAGTTACACTACATGCACTTTTTAATGAATTGGGTCCCTGTGAACTGTACTATATAGTGTGCTCTATCATCCACAGGTTTCCAATTTTCTCTCCCTCATGTTATCCTAGAGCCTTCATCAGTTTTGCAATTCTGTCACACTTTCAATACATTTGTCACGTGAGGTTGGTTGATTTTGTAGTGACCCTACCTTATTGTACACTCACGTACTTGTACCATAGCACTATCCAGCAGTGTCCACCCCATCCGTGTCTGACTGGGGTAAAAGCAACTATTTGTTCATTTACTACAACGCTCACCATGATCACGAAATCTGACGACGTGGATTCTAGTCCCTGCTGCATCATCGATCATGATAAAGAAGCCTGTGGAGAAGTAAATAGGAGGGTGAAGATGAGGAGTAATTGGCGCCAGCCGTATATCTCTCCATAATCCTATTTCTCCCCCTTTTTACCTCATAGATCTTCTAGGGCGACCGGGACACCTCATCAGACAATGATAGACCAGCATGAGCAACAGTAGCACCCCCCAAAAAACAAGGGTACTGTGAAACAAATCATAGCAGAGACATACACTGAAAGTTTGGTTGATCCTCCACAATCAGGCTCTCTTCCGGAGTCTATGCATTCTATGTTGATAACTTTGGGCCCCTTTGTCGATGCCACGACAATGACCGTGTGAGTTACATTGTCCTGCAATGTCATTGCTCCCACCTTAATGAATGTCATTCCCATCCAAGTTGGTGTCATTCATGGTTGGCTGTTTTGTAGGTGAGTTATCAGTGGCATGCACATTTTGCCACTGCACAAGACATGGCACCAACTTCAGGAACAAGTTTGTCATGAAGGAATGGCCTATATCTATGGGCTTCAGTCATTCTTTTGGCCTTGCTCGCTATTGGATGCTCGAATATCAATGTTTTCTACGGGAAAAGCAGAAGTGAGATTGGCATTTGGATGGTCGGTATTTTGATTTAATCTTTCTCGATCGCTAGCCACGCACCGATGGTAGCCTCAACGACGAGTTCAGCATCTAGAGCTTTGATCAAGCTTTGAATGGTGGAAGCTCCATCACGCTTTCCAGGCTCATGACCTGTCTTCACCACTGAAATATGCGGTTGCTTCAGCTCGAATAATAGCACAGGCTCTGCGGGAATTACTGCTACATCTCAGACTCCTACCCATCGCATGGGGAGGTGAGTCTACATACTAGAGCAGCCACTTTGTCAATAGAACCATATAATTATATAATCATTTTAAGCGACAATTTTTGAGACTACCTCCCCACTGGCGACTGGCATAACTTGTTGTGGTGCCAATTGTTGGCCTTGTTTGTCCCCTGCCTGGAGAGCGCAGAAATCATACGCGACCCCTAAAGGGATGCTCAATTCTAAAATGTCGTTGTCGCAGAGTGTCCTCATCCTAATCCTCACTGTACAGTAGCTACCTAAACCTTTTCATGTAGCAGTATCCCTAAACCTTTTCATGTAGTAGTGCTCCTAAACCTTTCAATATAGTATCAGCACTAAACCTTATCATAACTCCTAAACCTTTTCATGTAGTTTTGTCACCTAGTGTTTGCTTTTCTCTGGCAATATTTGAGTCATGATTTTTCATACAGTATCTTCAGTACTAGTGAGACATGTTGAAATATTCAAAAGAATCTGATTTAGGAGCAGTTTAGCAATACTAAATGGAAAGGTTTAGTAATGCTACAATATGATAAGGTTTAGTGCTGATACTATATTGAAAGGTTTAGGGATACTGCTACATGAAAAGGTTTAGGTAGCTACTGTACAGTGAGGATTAGGATGAGGACACTCTGCGACAACGACATTTTAGAATTGAGCATCCCTTTAGGGGTCGCGTATGATTTCTGCGCTCTCCAGGCAGGGGACAAACAAGGCCAACAATTGGCACCACAACAAGTTATGCCAGTCGCCAGTGGGGAGGTAGTCTCAAAAATTGTCGCTTAAAATGATTATATAATTATATGGTTCTATTGACAAAGTGGCTACTCTAGTATGTAGACTCACCTCCCCACACGATGGGTAGGAGTCTGGCTACATCTCAGCTATCGAGTAATCCAGGCGCTTGGGTGGGGAATAGGTAAGATGAGGACTGGTTGCAAGACATTTTACGTGGTTTCAGCTTGCCACTTGGTGCAAGTGTGAGTACTCTGTAGCAGCTAGCGCCAGTAGTGGTGCATAAAGATAAATGTTTCTCCAGACCTACTTCTCTTTCAAACATACTTCGGAACACAACATAACTTAATTAAATAAGTACCACAATGAAACTTAGAACAAAAGCATATTCTCTCACCTGCAGAATTCCCAGTGTAAAGAAGTCATCTCCAGTGTTACACACTGCTGCTAGTGGACACATGCATGCACACCTGGAAAGCAATTGAAGTCATGGTGATTGCTGAATCGGAGTCAGCCACTCGCCAGGCATTGTATTCTCAAACGCCAAGGATCAGGTGTGGTCCCAGCACAAACAATCTGATTTTGCAAGGAATATTGGTCCTATGGAAATGATGAACTGCAGTTGCATGCAGAGGTCAATGATAGATTGACATACCGCTGAGATTGTTGAAAGCATAAAAACCAGCTGGAGGCCCGAAGCAGCAGCAAAGCTAAGTTGACATTTGTGAAGCTTCAGCAAAAAAGGATAACCACATTCACATTATGAGTTCACCTCGCAAAGTAGACCATGCGAGTTCTCATCAACACTGTGAAACAGTCCCTGATAATCCCTCCTGCAGATGATTGTCTCAGTTCATGGAAATGTTTTACAGCAATCCAGACTGTGAGCCACAGTACAAGGACCTCCCATACAATGATGAGTATCCAATTTATGGGCATCAGAAGTGGGTCACTTTCCACATAGTCAATAGCACATTCATAGGTGCCGAAGAGAATGTACACCTCTGGCATTCGTCAATGAGCCTTGTGGTCTCCAGTATTCCATCCAAAATTGAGCTTACCCCCTGAGGCATGCCCAGTTACCATTTCGCAGATCACTCCACTGGTGATGGTGACAGCTAGCAAGACAATAATGAGAAGTATCAACACTGTTCAGGATCACTGATACATGGCATACAACCGAGCCATCATGATGACTTGCATGATATATCAGTAAACCAATATCACTGAGAGATTGCAGCTGGGTAGCTCACCACCTATCATTGCAGGCACGACGACATTTGTCCACTCTATTGTGACATATATGTTGAAGCCTGACAAATTGAGTTAGTGATCAGCCTCAGAGTATCACACACTCCTAACAGACTCACAACTGTGGTAGTCATTATATTGAATCAACGGGCGGGTCAAGAAGCTCACTCACCCCTACATGGGAGTGCAGTTGATTGGACAGGAATGACAGGAACCAGGGCAGAATACTCACTGCATCTGTCATCGGGATGGTCGGAACTTGAGCTGCATGCCGTCGGTCAGAAGAAATAAGCACAGCATGTGTACTGTGACAGCCGTGGAGCCAATGCAATTGCGCCACTCTGATAGCCATTGGAGAGCCTAAGAAAAAGAAATGTCAGACATGAATAGCGTCAAAAATTACTCACTATAGCCATAACAGGTCCATCATTCGTGACGGTATGGGGGATATCTTCATAGACCACATTCCAGGTGTCCTGTATAGTAACATGGAACATTGCTTCCGACTCGATACGACCCCAGACTTCATCCTGATCTCCGATAGCAGAAATGAGAGTAGGGATGAAAATGGCACTCCACCTAGCCACTGCCTGAGGGCATCCAGGAAGGTGCTTGATCCTATATGAAGAATGGGGGAGGATCTCCACTGTCACCTCTAAGGGATTCATGGGACCAGCCTGAGGTTTCATGGTACTTGGGATGCTGGACACACTGCGAGAAGACTTCAGCTGCTTTGCTGCAGGGGCATTGCATTTGATGCTGATGCCAGTCTATAAATTTTGTAGTCAGTAGAATTCAAATATTTGAACCCGAAGCACACTACCATAGAAGTTACCTGCAAGGGCACTGGTTTGTACTCGGTCTTGACCACAGGCTTGACATGAGCCACAAATTCAATTTCGGAGGAGGGTGAGTCTTCATTGGCTACATGATCCATGATCATGAGGTCATCCTCAATCACATCCATCAACATGAGGTCATCCTCAATCGCAAAATCATCTGTGATCATGAGGTTGTCCTTGAATAGATTGTCCTCAATCAAGTCATCATCAGTTAAGTCATGCTCAGCATCTACGAGTTTGCGCTTGACACCGGTAGGGCAGGATGTGTAGGATGGAGCGAGACGTGGAGGCCGGAGGTTGGCATCATAGTATCCTTTGGGAACCTGCACAGAAGGAGGAGGTTCAAGATCAGATTCCCTATTGGTATTGGAATCATAGTCAACAAGGGAAGTTACTAGAGGAGCGGTCTTCGCATTTGTTTCAAGATCATTGTCCATGAGATTGAAGGCACCATCATCAGCGGTGACATCAGGCTCAATCGGGTCGAGCTGCTTGGGTGCCAGATTGGCGTTGCGATGGGCTAACTTCATTTGAAGTAGAGAATTCTCTGAGACCTTCCAAGAAATTTTGACACCCTGGAAACGCAGTTAGCACATGGAAATAAACTAGATGGTTGGACTCACCTGAGCAGCCTTTAATTTTGACATACGAGCAAGTCCTTGAGAGCGCTCGACTGAATCGGTTAATTCATCATCTGCAAACAGGGTTGTAAAAAGATCTGACACATTGTTGGCCCCAGCATCGGGAGTATCGATAGGTGTGAGTAAGGCACCACCACTACTCATAGTGCTCCCCCTAGTAAGCTTAGAGGAGGGAGTGGTACTAGAGATAGCAGAAGGCACTCCAGAAGCTCTGTGTTTCAAGTTGGAGGATGGCTTTGAACCACCAATGGGAATATGTGTCCTCCAATTCAGAATACAACAAGTATGACTGAATTTTTTAGAACCCGGCAGAGAGCTATCATCGTTATCATAGACCATAAGATTGAAAAAAAAAGATGTTTCGGTCAGATGGATCCTCATGGTTAAAACAATTACAGCTCTTTGCATAAAGGATGGCAGTGGCGTGGAATTTTTGTTCAATTAGGAAGTGTTTAGACTTAGTGAAATTTTGCTTGTGTAACCTAAGGACGCATTGTGTCAACATTGTATTACCATCAGTATCATCTTCACAACATGGGATTTCACAGGATTAGTCGCAATGTCAAACTTGCAGCAATCTGACTCCATGAACAAAACCTTCCAAGCCTTTGCAACATCCTTGGTTGCTGTGGATTCTCCGAATGCACTTGGTTTCGGATCTTGAGGCTCTCAGGCTGACATTGTCATGAACTGTCAGCCTAGCACAACAATGCGTGGTCATCTGTGTGCTTTCAATCATGAAGATATTGATTGCCTACTTCGTCTCATGAGGCAGTATCCTGATTATTTTTGGACCAGCTCATGCACCTCCTTGCAACAAACCAATTCATATCCGTCCATTTCGTGAGCTTGAATGTGCTGATGTGAGCTAAAAGAAACTCAATTGCATTGCCAATGAATGCAATGAGACTCTCTGTGCCGAGTTCATCACATGCATCATAGGCTCAGTCTGTTCATGATCTTCCAAGTCCCCTTCCTCCGAAAGTTCTTTGATTTGAGTATTGTCCTCATCAGAGCCATTAGAATAAAGGTTACTGTCGTGCTCTAGCAGGCTCTTGTGTTTTTTGAAGGCATAAATAGTTATAAATGGCATGATGATAATGATTTACAGGGGGTGTGAGTGTATGATGAGTAAAATTTCACTAAGTCTAACATTTCCTAATTGAACAAAAATTTCAAGCCACTGCCATCCTTTATGCAAAGAGCTGTAAATGCCTTACACATCCAAGTCAGACAACTTATCATCATCACGTGCCTGTGTTGATTCACTAGTGATAAGGGCACCCACCACAGAGTCAATCACATCTCTCACAAGTGTTTTCACTGGTATCACCATCCTCTTTCCCTTCTTTTTGTGTGCTCCTGGCATCTGCACCTCCAACTCCTCATCTTCTTCACTCCCAGGATGCTCAATATTGGCATTGGCTGCTGATTTATCAGCCCTGCCACCATTGCCTATGACACCAACAGCCTTATCGGCAGCCATAGTCAAGTCGGTAGTCTCTGGGGCTTTCGCAGCCTTTTTCACAGGATGAGGACAAGGACGACTAGGCTTAGGTGCAGTGCTTTAGCCACTCTCAATAAGATTTCTTTCTCTGATTGTCTTCTTGCATACTCAAACAGCAACATACAGCACTGGATGAAGATGAACAGGCTGTCCCTCCTATTGCACCACAACCAGATGCCCATGCCATTGAACCGCAACCAGTCATTGAGATTGATGACAGTGAGATAGTTGATGGTACAACAGTACTTGCTTATGTAGTGCTTGCTAAAACTCCTTGTAAGTGATACCATGCAGCGTCAAATCTCGATGCTAACTATTATATCATACAGAATGAAAACAGGCATGAACAGTAGCAGCATTAGCACATGAAGTTGCTGTTCCAGATCTGCGACACCTCATTCAATACTTTTTGTTCACTCAGCTCAACCGAGATGATCCCCACGATCCTGCAGATGTCCCAACTGGTAGCTTGCCTCAGAATGAAGGCAAGCTCCAGGTCTTCAATTCTGCTGCTGCAACTTTCTTTGCTCCCAGCAATCTGAGTGGTACTGGTGGCATGCGACGGGAACATATCCATGCATGTCCACTCTGGAGAAACGAGCACCCATGCAATGACTGTGTGCTCATCAACACTGATTTGGATGCTCAAGGCATGCAAGGACTCGAAGTTGCAAGAATCATATGCTTCTTTTCTTTCAATCACAACTGGGAAGTATATCCATGCGCTCTCATTCAATGGTTTGAGAAGATTAATGATTGTGCTGACGAAGACACTGGCATGTGGATGGTCTGCCCCAGTTTCCATGAGGATGGTTCCCGGAACCTTGCTGTTATTCATATTGAGACAGTGTTCCGTGCAGCAAACCTGATACCTATATACAGTTCGGAGTACATCCCTCATGGCCTCAAGTTCTACCATTCCATTGATTCTTTCTGCTCATTTTATGTCAACAAGTTCGCTGATCACCACGCCTTCAAGATAGCCTCCTGACCGCCATGTATGGCATAGGTAGGTCTTCAATTCAATTTTTGATCTGTTTTAACAGTCAGATCCCAATAGAATATTTAACTTCTCAATGTGTCTCCCCTCTTAACAAGCCTCACTTCGAGGCTATGTACATGAAGAGTCATCATGTGGAGCCCAACGTGCAAGTTCTGTTACCTGATAATTGGTCAGTTGAATTTCGCTTCATGAAGGTAGCACTCAATTGATCATTTGTAGATTGAGGTCTCACCTTTGGACATACTCTGCAAGGTATGCCCTCTCCTCAGCAGTTGTCCCCTCAGAGTGCGCCTTTTGATGTCGCATTATCACTCTGAACAGGATGGGAGGAGTTTCAATGTTAGTTTGTCACTGATTGCAGAAGGGACCACCGAAGAGTAAGTAGTATGTATTTGTTCCTTTGATTGATGTTCATCTACGCTGTAGTGCTACTCCCCACAACCCCTGGTTTACACCTAACACTACAACCCCTACAGGGCAACAACAAAGTAGAAGATCCTCCACTTCCACTTCCAAAGCACGCCTTTCATCAGTCTCAAGAGTCGAGGATCAAATGCACACACTTGAACAACAGAAGGTGCACGGCTACTTGGACTCACTCCCACACCGGTTTCCATCTCCCCCAATGTCATCCTCTCCATTCCCAATCATCCCTCTGAACCCTTCTCATATAGTAATGATCACAAGTCCCGTTCCAGTACCAAACACAGTACGTCAACCAAGCACTTTCTCACCAGCCCGTTATGCGCAAAATAATCCACCCGCTCTTTATCCCCAACTCCTTCAGGGTCCGCTGAATCATCAGCACCCTCTTCTATCTCTCTTGACTCATATGACTCCCCTCCCTCACCCCCCCCCAATCACTCGAGGACCAAGTCCACATGGCTTACATGTTGAATGATACCCGTCTTGCTAAGATTCTGCTTCTTAAACTTAAAGGGATCAATGTCACCTTGGACAATGATCCTCGGATAGATGAAGTCCAGGAAACTCAACGGAGACAGCAACAGAAATGGGAGGAGGTTCAGTGAAGACAATGCTTGTGCATGTGCAAAAGGGTTTGGGAAGAAGAAAAGCAGCATCTACACACCGAGCGACTTTGCACTATTTGCCATCACGAGGAGGAGATAGCTGTAGAGGAAGAGAGAAGGCAGATAGCAGATGTTCATAAGCATGAAGAGGCAGAGCTCGCTCTTCTACAGTGTTCCACGCAGGTGAGGTTCTCGATGGCTCAACATCACACTGTATCTTATGGTAAATTGTCGCAGGCATGGCTAGAAAGGTGCTTGTTGAGGCACGACAAAGATCCATTTCAGTACAACTTCATGTGACCCATGAATTTGAGCACAACTCCACCCAAGCGTGGCCTCACATCCCCAAAACCGCTCCACAATGACACCACACCAAAGCCTTCAGGTGGTCAGCAACGCACAGTGTCGTTCAAGGAGGTCATGTCCTCTATGGATGGTAAGCTGTTCCCCCTCGACGCAGCCGAGCAGGCAGAGGAGGTGAGGTGTATTGCAGGAATCAGTACTGTTGCCAGCCCTTCATGCCACTGCCATCATAACTCTGCGCAATCCGATTTACTGCTCAGCCTGCTGCACAGTAAGTGATCTCTGAGCTCGGTTTACCTTTCTCATGTTTCCTAGATGCAATGAGGCATCTCCCAACCTCCAATGAGGACAAATTTGTGTCCTATGCCAACAGGGTATTGTTCTTGCATTTTATATTACTCTAAACTAACACCGACTGAAACACAAGATTACTACCTCATCTCCTGCTCTGGATCTCGCTCATCTCTCCCGGACATCTCCACGGAGTTCATTCTCTGCAAGAGGCGTGCTATGGCAGATGGACACCTATCTTGATTCAGGCTGTTGTGGTGACCGAGAGGGAGGCGAATTTTAATGCTCAGGTCAGTGTTATGCTGATGGTAATCAGAGGAAGTTTCAAGTCAATCAATCTACTGGAGGTGGCACTCTAGAGAAGTCAAAGGAATCAAGGTGGATTCACTAGTGTCTAACTAGTAGTCTGAAGATGTATCTGGGTAATTCCAGCGTAGGTCAAGATGAGGAATCATCGAGACTACGACCTGCTTATATACGATAGTAAGTCAGGGTCCAGGGTCTAGGGTAAGTAAGTAATATGTCCATATAAGTATAGATAAGTGTCCATGGGAATACACATGGTGTATGCATGTTAAGGGTCTATGAGAATACACTAGGTATCAGCATGTAAGTAATATCCAAGGACTTGCCGAGGATAGATCGAGATTGATCACAGATCAATGAATAGGGGTGTGCACCTGTGATATGGTGAAGTCGGAGAGTAACCCTAGATAGGGTGATATCAGGAAATGGTGACACTGTGACATGGTGTCAATGTGAAGAGGTGAAGATGTGAAAGGTGAAAAGGAAAATCAAAGGTGTCATAGACAACCGTAACAGTCAGTGTCAATGCCCAGGATGACAAGGGCAGGGTGGACTACTATGCTATTGCACATTGCACCTCAGAGAAGGTCATAAAAGCAGTCCGTTTTCATTAACAATCGGTTCAAAGGCTACTTAAAGGTGGGCACGATAATTTGGAGTCCATTCCACATCTCCCAGACGCCGAATCGCCAAGACGATAACATCGACTTCAAGATCAGTAAGCTTGCAGCTCATCTGTTGTAAGATTTCCGCTCACCTTAATCTGCAGTCATGCCGCACTCAAACAACACATTCTGTTTTGATCCTTGCGCCCCAACCACCTCTTCACTCTCTCCCACAACCCCAGCAGGACCTCTGAGTCCACCTGCCATTCCACATTCGCATTCACCTCTGCCAGTGCACGAGCCGCTGCCTCTGTCCACCGGCACTTTCACTCCCACCCACAATGCACGTCTGAGTCCATCGATCTTGGTTTGGAGGCCACCATAGATTGTCTGTCATTCCAGTGTCTATTAACAAACAAACAATGAGCTGAAGGACATACCAGATTGCATTTGAGATGTTGGTTTAGACAAGTTTAGAGTTTGAATTGTTAGTACTAGGGGGAGATCTGTAATGATATGTTGCTTGCAGCGCTTGTTTTGGCTTTGGTATCTGATCTTGCCTTGCGCTGCTTTTCGCCACATGAATACCACGTGCTTCCTTATTCGACTTATCAAACTAAAAGGCAAGTGAATGAATATAAATAAGTCAAAAATAAGTTTTAATTTTCAAAATAAGCTGTGCTAAGGAATGTGTGAATTTACTGATGTCTAAAATCAAACAAGTTAACTCTACAATGTACGATAATGTTTTCAAATAACTTCAAATTCTTTCTCATCCTTGTTATTTTATCAGGGGGTAAAAAAAGCGATCTAAATCTGCTAAAACTTGAATTTGGAAAATTTAGACATAATATTGCAGCATTAGTTCTAAAAACTTCTAATTAGCTTAGGAGGTTTTTCCTGATGCAAGGTGTTGCGCTCCTGCTACATGTTATTCCCACTCAATAGTTGTCTGGTTTTCCATACATGCAAACTATGTACAATTTCACAGTAGAGACTTTCTGGTGGTGTGCGCTGGCAGTGCTCCATACAAGTCAGAAAGTTAGTGATGTGAGACACATAGGTGGCCCCATGGTGAATTCCTGGAAGATATAATGGCGCAGGGGTGCACGAAGTTCCATTGCCTAATATGGATGCGAGACCAACAGCTTTAAGGCCTTCGGCATCTGAGCAGCACATCAATTCGTGGACTTGAACACCATCTTTGAAATTGAAACACCTAAAGCGCCTCAGCAGACTGCTACTCATAGCAGATCCTACCACCACACAGGTTCATGTCATACAGCTTCACACGTGTTAACTTAGCTTTGCTGCTGCTTCGAGCTTCAATCTGGTTTTGATGCTTCCAAAAATCACAGTGGTATGTTGATCTATCATTGACCTCTGCATGCAACTGCAGTTCATCATTTTCATAGGACCCATATTCCTTGCAAAATCAGATTCTCGCTGGTGTTGCTTGAATTTTCTCGGTCACAGAGATGTTTGTGCTGGGACCACACCTGATCCTTGGCGTTCGAGAATACAATGCGCGGCGCGTGGCTGACTCCGATGCAGCAACCACCATGACCTCAATTGCTTTCCAGGAGCGCGTGCATGTGTCCACTAGCAGCAGTGTGTAACATGGGAGATGACTTCTTTACACTGGGAATTCTGCAGGCGAGACAATATGTTTTTGTTCCAAGTTTCGTTGTGGTACTTATTTAATTAAGTTATGTTGTGTTCCGAAGTAGGTTTGAAAGAGAAGTAGGTTTGGACAAACATTTATCTTTATGCACCACTACTGGCACTAGCTGCTACTGAGTACTCACACTTGCACCAGGCGGCAAGCTGAACACAGGTTCATGTCATACTGATGCATTAAACAGTGCAACTGCAACACTCCACTGATGCATCATTGGTGCAATTGTACCACCTTCCAATGATGCATCAGTGCAGTCCTCCAGATTGATGCACTGCGATGCATCATCCCAACCCTTGCACCAATGCATCACCTTGCTACTGTGATGCATCAACCTGCCCTCGCTTGTTCATGTGCCCCTACTGCTGTTTCCCGCCCTCCTGCTGTTTCCCGCCCTCCTGCTGTTTCCCACCCTCCTGCTGTTTTCCGCCCTCCCACTGTTTCCTGCCTGCAAATGATACCAATTTTACTCTTGCTAACATGTATTGGGTGACCGAAACTATAACAAAGGTTTATGTACTATCTAAGTCCATGTCTTTGAATGTGTTCACCAGAGCCAGGGTGTCAGCCCAGCTGGTCTTGAAGGACTCCACAAGAATTCGACGTAAAACAGCTTGACGTTTGGCATACACCGTCTGTCCCTTGCGCTTGTCTGTGTCTGTGTCTTGTAGTGCGTTTCCCAGGCTCCGCTCATCCCAGCGCTGGGCATCCCATTCAAAAAATTGCAGAACCCTTCGCATCTCCTCCTTCAACAACTCCACATCTTCTGCCCAGCGCATCGCCTGTGCCCTGGCTTTGCACCATTCTATTTGCATATCTGATTGACCATGAGCCTGACTAGGAAGCAAAAATGAAGAGCTGCCTACCTTCCAAGGTATTGTCCTTGTCCATCTTGTTCAGAGCCGCTCCCCACATACTCCAGATCCATGACAGCTTTCTTGTTCCCTCCAATTCTCCCCATATTATGTCTGTCATCAAGCGGATGTCAGCTCAGTCTAGCGGCCGCAGTGATGAGTGCCACCCAGACTGGGTCTGATTCACTCGTGGTGCAAGAACAATGAGGGATTTATGTGCATGCTCGTAAGTGCTGGCAGCGGCCTCGATCCTTGCTTCAATGGCTTTCAATGTATTCTGTGCCTGTGTGTTTGCTCCTTGTCCACAAAGGTGCCGGTCTTTATACTTGAGGATTGCAGTCTGAGCGCGTAAGTTCAAATGTAGAGAGCAGAGTGCATTGTGAGCTTGCCCATACCGCAACTTCCATTCGATGGCTTGGAGACGGGTGTCACAAGGCACGGTCCTGCTGATATGGGATGGCAGGCAGAGCTTGATTGATTCTGGTGCAGCGGCCACATTGTTAGATACTGAGCTCTCACTCGCACGTAGTGCAGTGAGAAACAGCATGTATAGTTCCTGCATCTTCGCCCAGGCATCGATCCTCCATTGGAGAGTGTTGCTTCGCTGAAGCATCTTTCCTTCTTGATTGTCCGTTGCATGAACTCCAAGGCCAGCTCTGTCTGCTTTCATTCGCCATCTATCAAAGTAGGAATGAGGTCTGATAAGCAATGGTTGGGACACTCACTGCTGCTCCTCGAGTTCTAAGCCAGTACTGATCAATACACTAGGAGTGCAGTCCTTGTGTAGGGCAAGGTAAGTCCCTGTTTGAAGGTCAACCTGGTCCTCCCTAGCCAGCTCCAGTCGTACAGAAGCCATAGTGATACCTGTGATATACAGAGGATCAAGATGAGCACATAAGTATTACCATCATGATCTCATACTTACTTTCTGCCTTTTGTTCGAAGGGATTGGGCTGCGCAGCGTCATGCTCCCAAGCCTCCACCTGTTCTCTCCACTGTTCAAGGGTGGCACCATATTCGCCTCGCAAGCCGTCATTAAGGTCCTCGAATGCTTCACAATGGTTCTCTTGCTCTGGCAACGCATCCTTCATTTTTCGAAGCATAGTACTACCTGATAAAATGTAAATTAATGTATTATTTTGACAAAAATAAACACACCAAGTCCAACAACCTTTTTCCAATTTGAGTCTCCAAAGTAGTCATCAAGGGTTTCTTGCTGTGCACCGGGACCCATTTCTTTTGTGCTTGAAGCGACAGGGTTAATGTTGGCCCAGCCATGTTCTGGTGCTTCTCCATTGGTCCTTCCTACCCTGCTCTTGAAATTGAATGAGAAGGAGGTTTGGCACTGCTCAATATGAGCAGGTAAGTGGAACTTCGGCACAAAAAATGAGACAGTCTTGACGGTATGTGAGAGGTGCATTGACAATGGAAAGGCACTCATACAGTGCCATAATTTTTTGTGCCACTGGCACGCGATATCATAGGATATGTTGAGAGTGTCGAGTATGGTATGACGAAGTGTTGAAAAGAACAAATAATCCATGTTAATATATCTACATGCCCACATTAGATTGCCAACTGTGGAATGCAAATGACAATTTACCTTTCACCCTTTTGGAGATCCCCCACTGCATTGGGCCTTTTCATATTGTGGTGAGCACAGTCGACGGTACCTAAACCGGTAATGGCGAGTCCGTGGTTAGATTTTGTATCGGCCATGTTGACAGCGGTGTGACTTGAACATGTTGATTTCTGCAAAAAATAGTGAATATACAAAAAGCATAAATAAAACCAACTAACCTCTTGGATGCTGTCCGCACTGCTATGCAAGAAGCCTTTATAAGCCTCTTCCTCCATGAAATAACCCCAGCCACGACTCAGGCTTGGGTCAACATTGTCATTGGAGACAGCCTTGCATTTTAAGCAGAAATTCGCATCAATGGCGAGGAATAATCCATATAACCACCTAACAATACCTATATTAGCAATAATTCTACTCCGGACTGAAGCTCGCTCTAAACTCACTGTCGAGGGGCATCTTTCCAATCAGCTGGAAGGTTCTTCCCTGGGTGTGGGCATGCTGGGCACAATACGGCACATTCGCCCTCAGCTGTCCCATCTATACCACTAGGGTCATGACCTCGCCCCGAACGCTTAAGTATCTTCAAATGGCGCCACTCGCATATCATTCACAAAAACGACTCATATCGATCCTGTAGGGAAGCTGGAGTAACTTCAAGGGTACTTGAAAATATGAATTTACCTTGACGGGAAGTAGGCCAGTGTTATCAGACATCCGCCTGAGCGTGTGATAAAAATCATATGTAGATACTTTTGACTCAAATGAGAGTAGGTGATACTGCTCGAGAACGCGGAATGTTGCAGCGGTTTTTGGATCTGATGTTGTCGAAGGAAACCAAGATATTTGAAGCAGCTGCATGTGGCTTTCGGCTGTTGCACAATCACAGAAGTCAAGGGCCACTTCGTGTATACCGTGGGTGTCGATAATGACAAAATCATTGTTAAATGCACAACAAGGATTGAGACATTCCTGGCCAGTGGTGTGGCCAAGCTGGATGTGAAGGCCCAGGGTTTTCAGTGAGATTCGCTCGAAATATTGACCGTTCCACCTCTGTGTTGATATGATATATTAGTTTTATGTCCTACTCTCCCAATCAAATATGAAACCGTACCTACAATCAATGAAGTGGGTGGCTCACATGGGCCAACAAGATGCAAGTTGAGCAATAGAGCTCTGACCCTAGGCAGTCCTCACACCGGTACTCCAGGCTGGGATGATCACATTCCAAGCAAGACTGAGCACTGGCTTGACTACATCTTCCTTTGAGATGGATTATTTCGCGAAGGAATAATTCTTGATGCTTCAACCGCATCAACAAAGGATAATCCTAAATAACTATGGTAAGGAAAAAGCCAGAGGACTCAGAATATTGTAGTATACATACACCCGCTGCTCGATTTCTTTTTTGTTGGCCTAAAAAGTCTAATGATACTTTGAGTGGGAGATCATCAAATGGCTCAGGAATTGAAAACGGCACATCATGCAGAGTCGGTGCAGTACGAGTTAGAGTAAGATTATTGACAGTTGATTTAGCATTCTTGGGAGGTTGAAGACGCTTCAGCTTATAGCTGATGGACCCATCTTTATGAACCTCATATTGGGTATGCTGGCGGGAAGGCACTGAGGTGACTGAGCGGTAAAAATTGAGCTTGGGTTTCTTCTTCCATTTCTGCAAGTTCTTCAGTGCTGTGGATGTTGCCTGAGTGCATACAATAGTCTGAATTGAAGATGCCCTGGCACAAGGAGGGTCTGTAGACATTCATTGTTGAAACCTGGGAGAAGTATGGAAGCCCGGACCTCGAGCACCTGTACTTGTGTATTTGTAGATGTTGACATACATATTGCCCCAAGGCCGTATCACATCTCCCTTCCTCCACATTCTTTTCAAACACCCTCCCATGACACCTGGTTTGGCTGTATTGCCCCAAGGCCAATTGGTGGAGTACGCTCTCGTTCATTTCTCAAACACCCTCCCCATGATGCCTGGTTTGGCTGTATTGCCCCAAGGCTGATTGGTGGAGTATGCTCTCGTTCATTTCAAACAGGTACATGCTCCCTTCCTGGTATCCATTGTTTTTTTTGGTGCGACCTTGTTCACACAGAATTGGTTGCAGGTTGTGTTGTGTCGCTGATGAGTCGAAGGCTCTTGTTGTGTCAACAATGATTTTCTGTGCAGGGCAGGCGTGCGCATGGACGAGGTATTGTTTGGTTTTGGAGGAGTGTTTGCGACCACTGACTTAGGCTCTTAGATCAGAGCATCGATGTTCGCGCATCACGGCCCATCGGCACTCACGATCGGGATTCCACTTATACCTATTGTGCATCGCCAGTACCGTTCATCAGAGGAGCATCGGAGCATGTATGTGGCCCACAGCATACTGTACACAACTGTATCACTGCACTTGTGAGTTCAGTACTGTAGAAGTTTCTTGAATGATTAGCCTAGCTTCGAGGAGTGGTACTTAGATTGTATATATACATTCGATCAAATGCCATGTCAGCAAAGGAAGTGCATGTCAGCCATGAGAATGGTAATGAACACAGTGCGAAGTATCAATGAAGGAACAGATGAAAGCTGAAGGATGAGAGATCATGTGCACACTCAGTGATGACTACAATATTAAGCTGAGTAGTGTCTGGGGTTCGAAGTGACTCAAATGAACCAAGTAAGGTCCGGTGAATAACAGGGTACCATGAACTCAAACATGTTAATGCGTTATTCTAAAACAACTAGTACTTGGCATTCTCGTAGTACAACATCCTCCCATAACTAGTCCCAACCACAGACTGGGCAATGCCCACATAACTCTAAAGCTGACGAGATGTCAGCAAATGCTACCAAATGAAGTATGGGTTGAACCTACTAGTGTGTCACCTGCTTGGCTGCAAGCCTAGTATGATGGCACGATGAACCTTATGTTCTCCCAGAACAAGTGACTGAACTGCAAAGAAGGTAGCAACATAATTGCCTGGTGTCCACAGCTCAATTTTTACATCATGCCTATGGCGGTGTTAAGTATAAAAAATGTCAATGAAACCATGAAAACTCACCAGAGATATGCCGGAAACACTCCAATGTAGCGGCCCTGAGTAACACAATAAAAAGGGGGTTTTAGATCACGCTGGGCAGGCATATTATAGAATATTCCTTGATACAGATATAAAAAGCACTCATCCACCATAGCATTTGCAGCTCCTCAAACTCTATACTGCCCTCGTACACAGTCACAAACTCCTCTGGTTCGGCCATGTAGGGTGTCATAGTAATGCTGAGCCAAAGAGGATCAGTGGATTTGCATGATTGAGAGGTATCCTGGGAGTGGGGAGGAACTGAAAGGCGCTGTAGTTTTGGATTAGCCTGAGAAGCACATCCATTAACAAAGCAAACTACTCACCCTGGGTCATGAGCGTTGACATTGGTGTCATATTAGTGGTGGTTAACGCGAAGTTCTAGAGGAGACTGGTATGTGCAATGATTTTTGAGTTGGCCTATGAACCGCCATTGATGATATAGTGGACCACTCACCCTGGATAATGAGGTATTAACATTGATGTCATATATATGGTAGCAGTGTCTAGTAAACTTGATTAGACTTAAAACGGTGATATGATGTACTCATCAAGGGTTTCAAACCGACGGGGTACCAGTATTGAAATTTGATTTCCAGTGCAGAGATTGCAGACAGCATGAGTCACCAGATGCATCACCAATACATCATTATGATTACTGCGAGACATTGATATCACGAGTCTCCTTTAGTGATAAGATTACAGTATGCACAGTGAATGATGAAAATGTCCACGCTGGAGTCAGCATTGATCGCACAGATTGATGCATGGGGTGGGTGTGGGAGATGGTTATGTTGTTGGATATGGGAGAGAGGAGTTGAGTATTATGCCTGTGGAGTGAAATGTTGGAAGAGATGCAAGAATGGAGTCGGTGGAGGGGAGCCACAGCCGGACAAGATGATGTCAAAAAATCGAAAGGGACGTCCTGAGGATTCCATACTAGTATTTTGCATATTGATTTTACAGCTTGATATTGGTGGATACAGTACCGATGTTCATTAGAGGCCAAAATGGCGGCTGGATTTTAAACGTACCAACTAAACCAGTTACATATTTTGATTTCTGGGAGTTGCAGAGCTGACATTCTGCAGGTGAAATTGAGGATTTCACTGTTGTTCTGGCTCATTAGTCTGCGAGAGGTAGCATGTAGTGTCGGCGTTGGTCGCATAGATCATGTTGGCTCAGTGTTTATGCATAGACAGTGTTGGCATAGTCAAAAGCTACAACTGTGCTTGCCTGTAAGAGGTAGGGTAGTCTTAGCCATATCAAATGGCCTGTGAGAGATAAGTGTAAGT